GGAATTCAGATTTCGGCTAAGATAAAAGACAGCTTGTTCGCGCCCGACATTGTTGTCTTGCGCGAGGAGACACCCAATGGATTCGGCGGCTGCCGAAATGTACAATTTAAGGGGTTTGGTGCGACAAGGCGGAACCAGCACGGGTGGGGTTGACAGGGCCACCTTGATTTGCGTGAATGCACTCTGATGTTCTTCGCGCCAAACAAATTTATCGGTATCTTTAAGTTTAAGGAGGGTGGAGAATGCCTTCATTTTTCCTGCCGAATTGGCGATGAATCGGCGGAGGAAATTGATCTGCCCGAGTAACGACTGCAACTGTTTCTTTGTTGTGGGAGGTGGGGCGCTAATGATGGCGCGGGCTTTATTGGCGTCGACTTCGATGCCGCGATGGTGCACCAAAAACCCTAGGAAATTGCCGGCCGAAACACCGAAAGCACACTTGGCTGGGTTCATTTTGAGATTATTCTTGCGCATGCGAAGGAACGCTTGTCGCAGGTCATCCAGGTGTGTTTGGCGGTGTTTCGACTTTACCACCACATCGTCGATATAAACTTCGACGATGGTCCCAATTAAGTCGTGGAAGATCATATTCATGGCTCGTTGGTATGTGGCGCCGGCATTCTTGAGGCCGAATGGCATGACGACCCATTCGTACGTGCCGAGTGCCCCTGGGCAACGGAAAGCCGTTTTGTGGACGTCGGCTTCGGCGATGAAAATCTGGTTGTATCCCGCATGACCGTCCATAAAAGATAGTAGTTCATGATTAGCTGCGGCATCAATGAGCAAATCTGAGATTGGCATTGTATATTCGTCCTTGGGAGTAGCCAGATTTAGGTTACGGAAATCGATGCAAATGCGAAGGGCACCGTTTTTCTTCAACACGGGGACGATATTGGCCAACCATTCGACGTACCGAGCGGTCCTAATAAATCCGGCCTTAAGAAGCCGAACCAATTCTTCCTTAATGCCGAGTTGTACCTCGGTCGAAAATCGGCGAGGAGGCTGCCGAAAAGGTTTACAACCATCTTTGATGCGCAACTCATGTTCGACCAAGTCTCGATCGAGGCCTGGCATTTCATGGTAACTCCATGCGAAGCAATCTTTGAATTCCCGGAGTAACTTATGGAGTTCGACCTTCATGGCTGGTGGGAGTAACGCGCTGATAAACAGTATGCGAGGATCATCGGCCGTGCCGACGTTAACTTCTTCTAATGGGTCCTTGACTTGAGGCCGATGGTCCTCGAGTTCGGCTGGTGCAGCCCGAACTTTATCAAAAGTCAAAACAGGGCCGTCATCTGCTTCGGCCAAAAATTCAATTAAATTTATGCCGGAATGTGGTTGTTTGGTAATGGCGTACCAATGGGCCAGCAGACGTTCCATTGTTGACGAAACCGCGGCCTGGCGCTGTTCTTGCTTGGTGTGCTCAATCATCGGCATTGGTGACTAAATCTGCCAAGCCAAGTCTCGCCGAATCCTGTTGGACAGTCTCGGCGCCGACCTCAATCACTTTCTGCACTGAAATTCGCGTCGGCCGCCCATCCTTGTTAAGGCCTTGGAGGGTGATGTAGCCGACGTGATCGTCATAATAGCGAGCCTGAATCATGTTGGTCTCAAATGGTTGATTATCGGCTGGATGGACGGTGACCGATTTGCCGTCCCAAAAGATGAGAACTTGGTATAGTGATGAAGGAATGCAACTGGTTTGGTGGATCCAGTCTCGGCCGAGTAATGCATTATAGTCGGTCTTGGAATCAATTATGAAGAATGCCGTCATGTGTTGCCGACCGGCAATGCTAACTTCCAATGGTAGCACTACTTTGGTCTGCGACTTGTCGCCAACGAAGCTGCTCATAGTGATCCCTGAAGGAATGAGTTCGTTATCAGAACGCCGTAAAGCCTTCATGACAGATATTGGCATAATGTTGACTGTAGCTCCACAGTCGACAAACACTTTGGAAATAGGGAATCCTTCGATGTGAGCCGTGACGTACAACGGCTTCAGGTGTTGGAGAGTAACTGAAGGGGAGCGAGGAAATAGCTCGGCCAAAGCTGCCTTAAGATTGTCCGTGCTTCGGGTTTCTCTGTCATCGTCGTTTGCAACGAAATCTACTTGTGTTGCTTCTTCGGCGACTACATCTCCGTCCAAGAAATTTGATTGGTGGGTCCTGGGTTGAAATTCAGCTGGTAACACGTGGACCATACTGATCTCCATTTGTTCGAGAATCGAAGGACCCATTGGATCGTGGTCGTCGTCTTCTGCCGAACTAGCCACAGTATCGGCCAGCGGATCATCCTCAATCAGGCTTTTGAGTTCCTCGGTAAGGGCCGGTATTCGAGACGTATTAACCAAATCGAATGTGGGTGGGCTATTTTCCTCGACCATATGGACTGTTGAATACTTAGGTTGGTCCTTCGTTACACGGGCTCGTTCCTCATAGGCCATACAGGCGTTCCTCGTGTCCAGGTATGCATCCAAACGTGCTATCCGTTTTTCCTCGTCGGCCGTGAGGCCGAAGAGTGATACAGCCGAAAAAACTTCGAAATGATAGCGCAAATGCTGAAGGTCATCGAGCGAAAAAGGTAATTCGGAGGTGTCGATATCTGTATAGGGATCGACTTCAAAACCAAGTACCCGAGCCTCCCGTATATGTTGGAATCTTGCTTTAATTGCTGGGTCAGAAGTTTTCTGAATAATCTGCTCGGCATCAGGGCAAGTGAGAGCGAGGTCGAGGGCTTCCTGACATGCTTTGGGTAGTCCATACAAGTCATTGGCGGAGTATTTCTTATGAAATTCTCGCATGTATTCCAAGGATTCACCGAGGAATGGGGGATGTAGGTTGCGCCGTACTTTGATAAACGGTTCGCGTGGTGGTAATGGGGAAAGTTTCCTTTCGGCCTCTTGTGTGAAGTGTTCTAGACGAGCTCTCGTTTCCCCAGGCCGCAGAAGGATTTTGATACGTTTCTCAGCATCCTCAACGGTGGTTTCAAAACCGGCAGCGGTGATTTTGATACGTGGCGCGCAGGCCGAGTAACTAATGAGCTAACTACGTCCTTCGGTTGAATGCGGGGCGTGCCAACTCGTCGACCGAGCTCGGCCGAGGAGTAAAATGTGATGTCGCGTTGGGTGCGCTATCGACTTCTGTATCTTGCGATTGCGACCGAGGAAGGAACGCTCTCGGTCTCTGGGCTCTATAGCCTGAAGACAAGGCTATTAATTCTACGGAGTTCACAGGTCGTCGGACCCTGATTCGGTCACTGTGATTATATTCGTAAGAGTATAAGCACGCCGAATCGAGACCAAACTATATGGGCACAGGTACTCGAATGTGATGTATGTCTTGATGGTAAACGTAGTTCGGCCGTCGGAATGCCGAACCCTGAAACTTACTTGCGAGTATCCAATCATAAACTCACTCGACGTCCAATACGCCGAGCAATGCAACTCGTAACACCCAACTATGCCGAAAAGGCTTAGTTAGATGACCTCCACCAACAAAGGTTCGAAAACCCTTCTCGGCCGAGACTTAGATAGATAATCGGTCGACCTCGACGCAGTGCTGTTTATCCAAACTGAAGGTGTTTCTCGGTCGGCTGATTCTGCGGCGGCAGTGCTGTTTATCCAAACTGAAGGTGCTCACCGGTTGCTTCCACAGTGCTGTTTATCCAAACTGAAGGTGTGTCGGCAGGAAAAGAAAAGGAAAAATCTCAAGGTGTTTGAGAGGTTTTGCGCAGGGCAATTGTATGCTGATTCTGAAGGGTCTTTTCTACTGCGTAATTTCTTGTATTTATAGCACCTCGCTCCTTGAATCCCATTCTGATTTGGATTGGGAGTCCTTGTCCCATCTCACCTTTACCTCGAACAATCCTAGTCCCACTGGGATTCTGAATTCTCCTCTTTTTGAAGCTTTATCCCTTGCCAGTCGAGAATCCTGGTCGCATCAGGATTTCCTCGACCTTTTCTCATTCATCTGGACTACTTAAGATCTGGCCGACCCTGCCAGCTGGCCCGGGTTTCATTATTTGGCCCATAGCATGTCATTACCTTGGGCCGAGCACATCTCCCTGCTCGGCCCAATAATATTTTGGGCCCAAACAGTGACCCACTAAGAAGTTCTTGTATGAGTTCCCAGAAACAAAACCGTGAAGGCATGATCGGAGTCCAAAGCAGATAATATCGTGCTACAGTGAAGTCGAACCCGGGATGTGAGGGGGCCTGGGCCACCGAGATGTGGTGACGGTCAAGGGCAGGACGTAACAATTTGGTATTAAAGCCTAACCTTGGCCATGATGTGTCGATGAGAATGTCGGGCCCCTAAGGAGGTGGATTGTAAGATCCCACATCGCGCAGGAAGTGATCCTTAATGTATATTCTCATCCCTACCTATCATGAGTGATCCTTATATGTATATTCTCATCCCTACCTAGCACAAGTCATTTTGGGAGCTCACTGGCTTTAGGTTCCATGAGAACTCCAAAGTTAAGTGAGTAGCGCGCGAGGTCACTCTCATGATGGGTGACCCACTGGTAAGTTCTCGTTTGAGTTCTCAAAAACAAAACCGTGAGGGCATGTTCGGAGCCTAAAACGAACAATATCGTGCTACAGTCGTGGAGCAGGCCCATAATATGATGGGTGACCCACTGGTAAGTTATCGTTTGAGTTCTCAAAAACAAAACCGTGAGGGCATGTTCGGAGCCTAAAACGGACAATATCGTGCTACAGTCGTGGAGCAGGCCCAGAATATGATTGGGTAACCCACTGGGAAGTTCTCGTTTAAGTTCTCAGAAACAAAACCGTGAGAGTATGATAAGGACCAAAAACGGACAATATCATGCTACAGTGGTAGAGCAGGCCAGAATACGATGGACCCCAATCCGGATGTGACAATTGCCAAATATCTGAACCCCTTCTGACCAAAACCCATTTTTAACCCGGTAAAGTCTCGTTTTTTAATTTTTCTTCTTGTTACTCATTTACAAAATATATTAAAATTCATACAAACTTACAACAAACAAATTATTTTTTTTTTTCTGCAACCATGTTAAGTTTCTTGGTTCAATCACACAAAACAAAATTCTAATTTCAAAACAAAAAAAAAATATTACAAATTAAGGAGAAGAAATAGGAAGAATAAAGAAAGATGAGCGTGCGTACGGAGCAGAGCGGAGTAGGGACGGGGAGAGAAGGACTGAAAGGAATCAAGGGACCAGAAGATTCATGTGGGAAATTGAAATTGAAAGATTATAGTATGATGCAGCTCTTTCCCAGCAGTTATAGCCCCCAAAGGTGATTCTTTGCCGATTTCAATTTCCCTGAATTGGATGAAGCAATTCCCCGATCGGACTCCCTATTTCCCATGGACTCGTGGTTGTAGCTTCGGCTTCGGTGTGAATTTAACAGACTAAATCACCGCAAAATCATCACGGATTTAAATAAAATATCATAACTACAATATGCTTTTGCAGAGATCAAGGGGAAGTAGTAAAACAGAAAGACCCACTTTTTTCCACTACCTTTTCTATGGTACAAATATACTCAGAGGCAAAGAGGGGTTGCGGCACCTGGTGATGACGGTGGTTCCGCTGCGGGAGAGAGTTCGAGAAACAGGCCGCGGTTCTTTAGTTGAGAGAACAAAATATGAATCAAAGTAGTAATGGATTGAGCAAGCAGGAGGAACAGAAAGGGCAAATGCAACGGCGGTGGAGCGGTGGGTGGTACTTGCTGTCAAAATGAAAGAACGACAGCTGAAGAATGAAATACTAGATGACCTGCACGTATCCAATAAGGGCATATTAGTCATCTCACTGTTAAGGTAAAAAAATGATAACGTGAAAGAACAAAAAGATTGGGGGCATGTTCATCTTTACACTGTGTTTATGAACAGTATTTTTTACCGTTGGGCTTTAGTGTATATAATTTTGCTCATAAGTACTTTTTTGGGAAGCACGTTGAACTTTTATAAAATTCCAAGTGCTTTAGTATTGGAAAGTGTTTTGACTTTGAAGCACTTTGAACTTTGTTTCATCACACTATTAGAAACACTTTTGATTTCCTATAACTTTTAGCTATTCCATGCTAGATTGAAGAACAATAATTGGCTGCTGGAAGAAAAGTAAGAGCTCATGCTCTTATCCAATTAAAACTTGCAAGCTTCTATGATTTGGTTCAAGTTTTATTTCGTTAAAAAAAATTTAGACATGTATCTAGTTGTAATTGGACACTAATTAAATTCAGTAGGAGCTCCTTCTTTTTTTTCAGCAGCAAATCATTGTTCTAGATTGAATGTTAAACTCAACACACATCCTACGAGTCTAGGAGGTTAAACAATGAGTGTTAAAATCACCACCATTAGCTACTTAGTATTACGGTTAGATTCAATTTTTGTCAATTGTGAATTTGAATCACATTATCGCTCGTTTATTATAAAACTGAACTCACTCCCCTACCCTCTTAGTGTAGATAATATTATTTATTCAAAAAAATAAAATCACCAGCATTTAGTTTTCACAAAAAGCTACAAGATCTATGGGCCAAATAATTAAAAAAAAAAAAAAAAAAAGGACTTAAATTCAGTAGTATAATCCTTCATTCTTGAATTGGGGCATGCACGATTGCAATTTTTTTTTATGGTTCGCAACACTGATTGGTCTGGAAAATCAACAAAAAGATTTTACATATAAAGATGTAAGACCTTACGCAAAACACATAACACTAAGTGGCCCGCAATGTGAACGCCATTGTATCAAATCATACCAAACAAAGCCGAGGAAGTGGTGTCGGCAAGACCCATGGGCCACGACCCACGACCCACCCCACACTAGAAGCCATCATCCACAATAAATTCCTTCAATTTCTACTTCACTTTATTTAATTGAATCTGGCCACCCCAAGTTTTGACCTTTTCCCTCAAATATCTGCCCTTCTCTACTTAATTACTTACAAACCCCTACACAGGCACCAAATTTCCGAAAAACCAAATGATCCATCACATACACATTTCAACGGCTACGATCGCCCCACTCTCTCACTTGGCCTTCTCCAGGGCTGTGATTGAAGTACCGGTTCCTGTGATTGAATCATATCTTTGAAATGCATACGCAACAAGCAAAACAGCAGTGAGGGTCACATAGTCCTTCGCAGCGCACTGCTTGTTGGACTCACTTGGTGAACCGGTCTGCGGTCCGTTGGACCAGTACAAGTAGTTCAGTAGCTCTTTGTTCTTCATGAACCGGTCCGGTTTAAACGTGTCCGGTTCATCGAAGACTTTCTCATCCCTCATGACCTGTTGTTGAAACCCACAGAGCAACTCACCCTTCTTGATGTCAAAGATTGAGTCGTGTGAACTCAGTTGGAAGTCCTTTCTGGCCCGCGCAAATTGGAGTGGAACCGGTGGGTTGAACCGGAGGGCTTCGCACACTACGGACTGAACCAGTTGCAAATTTTTCACCGAGTCGAAACTCAAAGTTGAACCGGCGTTTTCTCTGACTTCTTTGACTATTTTGGCCTGTAAACCGGTGGTGTCGCTTGCTATTGTGCCTATCAAACTTGGCAGAAAGACAGAAAACCCACCAAACGCATTGAAACCAAGTACAAAGAGAAGGTTGTGAATTGTTTCTTCTTTCGTCAGTCCGAAATCGGTTTCACCTCTCTTTACTACTTCTTTACCTGTAAACAAGTCCATTTGTATTCATGAACACATAAAACAAAGATATGGATGGCATTAAACTTGTCAAGTAACGTGATTTGTACCACCTTTATTGATCACACCTCTAATAGCGTGTATTATATTGGCGACTCATATAGAACATGTATGGTAATGCCATCTTACTATTCTTTTGTTGACATACAAACATTTATGTTGTTTGTGAATCTAGACCGCACATCAAGCAATAATCAACTTGATTAATAGTTTAAATATACAGTCTGACAAGAAAAATTTTACGTACAGATGTCGTCTAGGGTATGTTAATGAATGCAAGTAGAAAATATATTTTGAATTCAAATATATTTCGAAGGGCATGAGATTAATACGTTGTTTAACAAGAAGTGTAACTTACCATGTTCTTCTATAAACTGGTAAAGCTGGTTGTAGTCTCCACTGACAAGAAAAGAAGGGTAAGCAAAAGAATGGAGGAAAATCTCCTCCAGGGGCTGAAGCACACCAATCTTGACAGTGGGGAGGAGCTGGAGGGCGAGCCACCGGTCGAGCATGGCATAGCCAGACTCCGCTATCTTGGGCGAGCTTGCTGGGTCAGCTCCAACTAAGCATTTAGTGAAAAACTTGAAGATGAACTTCTGGAGTGGGATCAAATAGCTGGCACTCCCATCTTTGGAAACATCCGCTTCTATTGTGTCCCAAAAGGTTGAGAGGTTGGCAGTGAGCTCAGGCACCCATGTCTTGGAGCTTCTTTTCAAGATGTCCAAGGCAAAGCTTTTGATCTGTGAAGAAGATATTAAGATGGTATTGGTAAGTTGATAGAAATTAAACTTACCAAAAGACGGGAGAAGTCGAGTAAAATCACATCCTATACAGTAGATTTCATATCTTGCGAGATGAAAACGTTTTTCACTTCAATCAAATTAAGCACACCCTAAGAACTCAGGTTAGCAAAGTACATTTTGCCACTAATAGATGGCTACCAAATTACCTAAACCCTAAGGAGATGAAAACCCTTTTCATGAATTGCATTTTCATACTATTGAACCCCTTTTGATCTTTTTGCATAACCCCTCACGTACCGACAAAAATACAAAAAGCTATTGCACAACCTTCTAATTAGGTTCAAGAATTTCTTGCACGACACGTTAACCCATTACAAAATGACATGAAAATAACAAGTTTCAAGTCAATCTCGAGTTGCTATCGGATCACCCGTTAACGAGTCAAATCGTTACCAGGACCTAATAAGATATTGTATGTTAAATTTAGGCATTAGGCACACCCGACACAACCTATTAACGAATCGAATATTTACCGAATAACATGTTAAGAATTCGTTAATATAGCGGATTGACACAACTCAATCCGTTTGCCAGTCCTACTTCCAACCCAAGTTTTGTGATAAGATTTTGAACCAACGGGGGTCCTACTTGTACAATTTTGGGCAGCAACGTAGTGGAGTGGATGTGCATCAAGTCTTTAAAAAGTCATTTCAAATATCATGAAGGACAGGTAAGAGGAAAACCGTAAAATAACGGCCGTTAAATTATCTTAAAAATTTCTGTGTGGTTTCAAGTCTCGATCCCTAGTTTTACACTCTCATTTCGATTAAAAATTAAGAGTGTGAAAATCACCGTCGAGGAAAGAAAAATACTCCAAAAAAAGAGGGAGAGAGAAACTGTAGGAAATTAATCCCATGTATCTCATTTCCCAGACTCAACTGCAACTGAAAATCACCACCATCCAATTGTTGTAATGGATGAGGATCCTCTCCGGATTCTCTTTCTAAAGATCTCGGAGAATCGTATCTGTTCATCATACATTACGACCAGTTTCCATCAGGTACTATTTGTAATCAATTTTAAATAAAAAAATTCAAAATGATTTCTAACCGTAAGATGACAGATGAACAGATACAACGAAGTGATCCCCGCAATCCTCACAAAGAGAATCCGTATAAGATCTTATTCCAGTTGTAATGGTCCCCCATCGCATACATTTTGGACTGATTTGTCCCTAAAGCATGACTCCTGTGATATACATTTGGACCATCTGGGACTTTTCTAAGGAACACAGAAAACACAAACCATTCTTTTCTGCCGGCCAAAATATCCAACCAATCACTCTTCGGAAAATTTACTTCTGGTTCAGCAACAACTGAAAACAAGAAATATCTTCAAATGCTCAGCACAATTCTTTCTTTCTAAAGACTTGGTGACGTTCTTTTGCTAGACTGTGAATCTAAATTGTACGCTTTCATTTTTAACAAAGAAGTAACCATCCAAACAATACGCCGCGACAAATCAAATTAATAATCTGGATTCACTGTCGACAATCTATAGTTTAACATTTCTAGTAAAATACTGGATGAGTTAATTCATTAACCACAGTGCAAAAAATATTCTCACCCCTTTTGACAAATGAAAATTTCAAGCTTGTACTTTGATCCAAAAAATGAAATTCAAGCTTTTACTAGCTGAAGCTCTGAAATCGATTCAATTAAAACAGTTACCTATTTGGGAAATCAGCAAAAATAATAAAATAAAATAAAACTAAATTTGATTGCCAAACTAATTGGACATACTTATAGATAAATCGTGTTATCCCTAATAAATTCATCATTTAATCCTAATAGACATATTTCTTTCTTTTCTTTTTTTTTTCTTTTTTTTTTTTTTTTTTTTTTTTTTGTGAGATCGGTTAGTTTAGCACTTGGATGTTGTAAAATCATTAAAACAACTAAATTTCCTAACTATTTTGTAGATCTATGCGTAGTTAAATTAGCTAGAGTTTATGTACTTTTACTCTCTACCCTAGTAATCTCACTTCCGCTCCCGTAATTTAAATTAGTTTAGAGTAAGATATTGGTAAAAAAATATAAAAGAAATCTACACGAACCCAATATTTGCAAAAATAAAGAAAAATATGTACCTTGGAGTGTTGGGGTTCAGATGTATCAAGATAAGCGCAGGTCCTCAAGTCGCCGGTGAACTTGACACTGGGCATGAAGTCGCCGACAAGAACATTCTTCTTCTCGACCAACTCCATGTCGAACATGTACGAGAAGGACTTGCAGTCGAGGACGGCGACGACGTTGGGGTTGACGTTCAGGAACAGCGGGAAGCTGGGAGGGACATTCGTACGGAACACCGTGCTCTTGTACTTCTCGGTGCGCTTTTTGAAGAATGTTTCGGGACCCTGGAACCAGAAGTAGTCCAGGCGGTCCGAGACGGGGCCAAGCAGCGGCCAGCCATAGGCTCCGGGGATTGTACGGACTGGTAGAGATGCTGGTGGTTGTGGTTGAGAGAGCGGTGGCGATGACGGTGAGGGGGACGGGGACGGTGACGGTGACGATGGGATGCCTGGGGTCATGCTCATCATGAAAGCCATGATTTATTTTATTTTTGTTGGATTTCGAGATTTTGTATAATGAAATGAGAGAGGTGATTGTGGTTGGTCTTTCCAGTTGTGAGCCAAGTGCTTTGGCTGTAAAGTTTCGTCAAATTGTTTTGGCCGATTAATTATTAAACTGAAGATGATTTGTTGTCCTTATTTAGGAGATGTTTTTTACGAAAGAACTAAAATGATTAACGATAAATAAACTCATGGATCACTTTTATTCTTTCAAAATCTCAAAAATCAACTTGAGAAATTATATTAATCTCATAGACTATTTTGTTTAAAAAGCCGAAATTTTCATAAGTGATTGAAACACGTATTTGTATTGTATTATTTCATGTATTACAATAAAAGTAAATAAGATGATTGATGTCTTATCTACAAGATAAACTTACACATAACATATTCATCATATCGTGACGTCTTGTTTGATTTTGCGTGATATGTAAATTGTTCTCTACTTGTAGGTATATTAAAATAAATGTATTTAATGAATCAAATTTTATTGAGAAATAAATAAAATAGAAATGATTTATCATTAATTGTAAAGAGTGTATTAATGTTTCGAGTGTGATGGGTGAACAGGAAAATAAACTTAAGTGGGATTTTATTTCTTTGATTGTTTAAAGGGGGAGAATAATATGCGCTTCCAAGTAAAGACAAAAAATGGGAAAATAATGTTTGATTGTGTGGATGATTCTAACACATTCTTCTTTTTTCTTTTCTTTTTTTGCCAGAATACTCTTTTAAAGTAAAATTCTCTATAAACTCTCACTTGACAGCATTATATAATTACATGTTAGTCGCTTTCAAAAAAAAAAAAAAAAAAAAAGAGAGAGAGCATATTTTAATGATTGGTCATAGTTTAACCATGATATAATGGTATTATACATTATTAGCTAATATCAATTTCATACATTTTGTTTTGTAAGTATACTTATCGAGAAATGTTAACGAAACTTTTTTTTAAAGTGTGACTCTCTAACACCTCATAATTTATTGTTAATTTTTATATAAATATTATAAAATATTGTGCCACAAGAAGACTCTCTTGAAGTGAAATTCTCTATAAACTCTCACCTGACAGCATTATATAATTACATGTTAGTCCCTTTCAAAAAAAAAAAAAGCATATTTTAATGATTGGTCATAATTTAACCATGATATAATGGTATTATACATTATTAGCTAATATCAATTTCATAAATTTTGTTTTGTAAGTATACTTGTCAAGAAATGTTAACGGAACTTTTTTTTTTAAAGTGAGACTCTCTAACACCTTATAATTTATTGTTAATTTTCATATCAACATTATAAAATATTGTGTCATAAGAAGACTCTCTTAAAGTAAAATTATTTATAAACTCTCACTTGACAATTTAATGTTAAGTCCAACACTATAAAATAGTGTGCCATAAGGAGACTCTCTCAAACAATAGAATATCTATGTTAAATTACTGAAGAGGGAGATCGAACACAAGACCTAGAATGTAAGGGTGAATGCTTTTAATAAACTGAGCTACAAGACACTTGTCTTTATTTACGATCTTTAAATGTAACAAAAACACCAGTACAAAATTAAACAAAAATGCGTTGGAGGAGAAAAAAGGCATGTGATTGTGTGGAAAATTATTTCCCTTGTACAAAACAAATACTAATTTACTAGAATGAAATTTGTTACACTATTATGAATTATTATTCTTGTTGAACAAAAACAGGTATTTGAAATGATTAAGAGGTTTTATTGGCAAGAGGATTTTCTTCTGATCTACTTTGTGGAGATCTTAATCGTTCATCGTACATCGTACAGTCAATTTTCGTCGGATACTATTTGTATTTAATTTTAAATAAAAAAATCAAATAATTTTTTTACCACACGATGTACGATGAATGGTTAAGATGTGAGGATTCCTAAGATTCTCACAATTTGAATCCGAAGGGGATCCAAATTGGTTTTATTGAAGCGTTTGGTTGGTGTGTCACAAGAAAGACATGTTGTGTATTTTTAATGCAAGATAATGATCAAATACGATTATCTTTAGATCTCTTTATGAGGATTTTAAAATTCTTTAATTATATTCGTTTATCGTATATTATACAGTTAATTTTTTTATCAGATGATATATTATGAATAGACACAATTAAAGAATTCATTGAATTCTACGTAAAATGAATCCGAAAGAATCCTAATTCGATAATGACAAGCAAGGAAGGAACTCGTCAAGAAGCCATGGTGACATCGTTGACAGATACAGTGACACGTGGGTAGTTAACTGAAGTCATTGTTTACTTTCTTTTTATCCTCTCCAGATTCTCTCATCCGGATCCTGCAGACCTCCCTCCGTCACTCATCTCTCCCTCACACTTCCACCGAATTCTCACGGCATATTTCCCCGACCTTCAACCCCGGTCCCTTCTCATTTTCTTCTTCTTCTTTCTTCTCTGCGGTTCCGCTTCGTCAATCGCCACCGGAGAAGAAGGCAAGAATATTAAAAAGAAAAAATTTCAGCCGCATGATTTTACGAAAATAGCTGAGCTATTTGTATTATGTTAATATTTTATATTAATTTTTTTATAAAAATAATAAGATAAAAATTAATAAAAATATAAAATATTGATATAATTTAATAAAAAAAAAAAAGGACACCCAATGAGAAGAAAAGGGCATCCAAACAAGAAAAAAGCATCCAAACAAGAAAGCAGATAATCTACTTTCCGTTCATGAAGGGAAACGTGGCCTATTGCTTTGATTGATTGTTTTGTCGTTCTTTCTAAACTGTGTAAGCTTGTAGGTCGGCCTGGCCCACATTAATGTTATGTTACCAGTGTACTGCAGAGACTGTGTGGACACTAGTTTTTGTTAATTTCTTTTTTGTTGAAATGTTTTTGTTCATTCTTTAATAATATTTTAAGTTATGCTACTATATATTTAATTGAGATCTTTTGATGTGAATTCAAAATAACTAAATATTAGATCTATTTTAAAAGTTAAAAGTTACTAAAAATTAGATTTATTTCAAAATGTGATCTATAAAATTGGACCTATTTCAAAATTTTTCTATTTTTTTAAATATTAATCTATTAAAAAGTTTGAAATTAGAACGCAATGGATAGAAAAAAAAAACCTTGATCATTTGAACAATACAACCCACAACTTACTAGTAACACTATTAATTGTGTGCAAAATCGTTGATGCATTGTAGGATTCATTTGCATCAACGGCTCATAAGTTACTTGTGTATTTGTGAGCATTGCTCTAGTTTATTATTTCCAAACCTACCGGAAAATTCACTTGCATTAACAACTCACAAGTTGCTCCTATATTTTTAGCATCACTCTAGTATTTCTTCACCATTTGAAAATCCCAAGTACTACACTTCGTTGCATTATTGCTATTTTCCTAGCAATTGACTTCTATTTTTAAGAATGTTATTCACATACTCATTTTTACTTTCAACACATTCTTGTTAATTCTGTGTTCTTAATATTTCTTAACTTATTCGATTCAATGGTTAAAAATAAATATAGTGTGTGACAACTAAAAAAGATTGTAGATAACATTACCTTTTTTTTTTTTTTTTTTTTTTTGTTATGTGCGACATTGGGAAGGAAGGAAGGAATTTGAACATAGGTTTCGCGTGCAAAAATATAAAACTAATTGAAAGGAACATAGGTTTCGCGTGCAAAAATATATGTTCTTAAATTCAAGATTAATTTAAAATATTGAAAGGAACACCAATTGATTAAATATAAAACTAAGTCGTAAAGTACAGTTTCAGACGCATTTTCCATTTCCATTCAAATAATAACAGCAGAGTACAAAATCATTACAGCGGAGAAAATGCTCCCAAACTTTTTCACGTTAGGTGAATGCTGAGATCATCCAGATTGGTGGAGGCCAGGATCCTCAAACCATGCTCATTGGCCAAATGTAAAAGGCAGATGAAACACAGGTCAGGGGAGATGTCACTGATAGTTTCAGCAGCTCTGCAGATCACTCGGAACACCAATTGCTCCACTCTTTCTCAAGTTCAAAAATATCAATAATTAATCAGAATTTACACCTTCTAAAGACTGTAATATCAAATACGAAACAGTAGGATGGTAGATGCAGAAATTCCGTTTGGAAATACTTCTTTACGATGCATTTATGCTAAAAAGCGCTTTTACATGAACCAAATATAAGTGTTTCCTGAAAAAGTATTTCAGTATTTCTTGAAACAAGTGCAAACGTTTTTATAACTCATAAATACTTTTAACTTTTGCTATACATTGTCAGCAGCTAAAAGCGCTTCTAAATAAGGCTGAAGTTATGCAAGTTCTTAAATATCATTCAATTGTTGATTTTATATGGTATAAAATATATCATCTAGTGGGATGTACCCAATACAAGACAAAGATGTTTATGTATTTCTGTTGATAGATCACATCGTACACCATTCCAAGTGGCACGCTGAAATTGCCACAATTCATGTTCTATGATCTCCACATGTTAGTAGGTACGAGTAAGTTTCACAGACAGTTTGATTGCAGCATGAAGAAAAGAGAGGACACCACTCAATCGGAAATCATACATCAAATAAATCTAGGATTGTTTCAGCATATGCATAAATCCCCGATCAAGCTTTCTTATGTAATTTAACTTCTTCTTTTTAATAAAGATGGTTTCCTATATGTTCTATTGCCTAAGAAAACTGAAAACCTGAAAAATAAATAAATGACTTAGCAGACCTAGATCGACGTTTAAACAGATTATTGTACATGGTTCCAAATAGTTTCTTTCAAAGCCTTCACATCGACTTGTTTGGAAGTCTTGTCGCAATGAACTTAAATTTTGTTAACTTGTATTGTTTAGATGTAGGAAGCAAACAGTAAGCAAAAAACTGCACAGATTTGTTTTAACGGATGTTGAATTACATACTGAAAGTGTAAAACTAATCATAAATCATAATATTGCAATCCTTATCATCTCCGGGATGAACATCTATAAAACTAGACATAATCCAAGTATAAACCTTTAAACTACATGAGTTGAAATCAAGTTCGTAAAATCACCACAACTCATGTCATAGGCCATACACAAAGATTCTGACTCATCGAGCTAACTCAAATTACGTCAAGCTGAAAAGTGTGGAAAACCATTTTTGAACAAATATTTACAATGCCGTGAGCTTAGAGAGAGATCTGTTGGATAAATATTCACAGTTAAGGCCCTCCTCCACGACGTTTGTTTGGTCATCATGATCATAATCCCAGTTCCCGCAATTCTCAAATGCATCACAATCAAAATCAGCTTCATTGTTATAGGCAGCATCATCTTGCTCTGCTAATTCTTGATCACATGTATATATATATATATATATATATATATATATATATATACTGGCCTTCTGTTATCCTCATCAGATCAATCAACTAGACTCCTGAGAGTTGGTGAAATTTCATCTTTGATTCGCATGTTCAATACCATCTGTTCTACGTATTCTATAAAAAGATCAAGAAATGTAAATCTTAGTAAACCACATCATTCTCATTTGGAAAAAATAGGAAGATGAGACTTACGAAGAACTCAATAGAATACCGAAAGCGCAACTCACCACCAGCAAAAGAAAGATCAATGGTATCTGATAATAATAATTATCATTTGAATGTTGATCTTACCAAATCTTTTTAACATAAGACCCTGGATAATAAGTAGAGCGCTTTCAGAATCGTTTAGTGTTTCGTGCGGAGTGACGCAATAAAGGTATTGAGCCATTTTTAATCCTTCTTCACGACCCTGAGCCTGAATAAGTGGGGTAATTTTGCCGGCCAAAAGGGGGATGGTTTTCTTGGGAGGAAGGGCAATACTGAGTAACTTCTTGTTCTTTTCAACCATGCATTTTGCTAGTTCGACGCTTTCTGGAATACCGGTTATAACATGATGAAGAGCAGTAAGACCCACACAGTCTTGTATTTCCAAGTCTTTTTGGTCTCATTAAGGTGCACCAATTCTTTTGCAATGTCCACCTTCTTAAAAAGGACTGCCCAGTGAAGAATTGTCCCACCTTCCCTAATTCTTGCAGTTACTGCCTTGGGATGTCGCTTAAGAAGCTCCGTTGCTGCATCACAATCACCCCTAATCACGAAATGCATAATAGCTTGATTAACGTGGTTGTCTTCGTCTCCTGCCAAGCTAGCTAACGTTACATATATATCCCCATAATGTACGTAACATATATTTGTTACCCTCATCACCAAAACAAAAACTTTTAGACTATATATTGTTAGAACCTACTATACGTTTTCCACAATTGCACAGATATGTGATAACAGAACAACAATACAAACAATCAATATTTCATTAACTACATTTTCTTCTCTTATAATATACTATTTATACTAATACTCAACTTTAACTGTCACCGCAAGTTGATGCCATCTGACATCCTAACATTACCCCCTTCCCTCCCCCTTTTAAAACCAATCTTACAAGTAAGATTTACAATTGAAAACCAGCAATAAAACCAGGAACAACACAAACACAAGAATGTATTAAAGGTTCACAATTTCTGGAAACTTAAGCTTCAGTTCATGGTATAGTTCCCATGTAGCATCATCTTTGGAGTGGTTTTGCCATTAACTAAGGCTTCCGTGGCTGCAGCACTTTCTTGATCATTCTTCTGTCCAAGATTGCACTGGTACATCTTGCAAAATCCCAGCATCTGTGATAAAGCAACTTTGGTTCTTTCAAATGGAGTTGTGATTTTACCAGGACCTTTGACTCCTTCAACTTTGACAGAGGTTGTTGTCAATAAGAAATCTGTGTACTTCACGGCTGCAGAGTTGATAGGGGCCTCTTTAGCACCCTGTAAACCCCATTCCATCACAAATGAATCATGCATTGTCAGCTCCTGCTGAACAGCCGTCCTCAACTCAGAAATCACAGGCTTTGCATCATCATCATCTGCACAATCATTTGCCAATTCATACTTCAGTTGCAGCAGCATTGCTCCTTTAAAGTAGCATACTTCTACGCATTTTTTTATTCTTCTTCATTTTATTGTATATAGACTACTTTTGTTCTGTTTTACCATTGAATACTGTCTCTTTTTCTTTGTAAATTGCAACTGTTATCAGGAATTCAAAGTCAATGCCATTATCCATTTTAGTTTTCTACTTGAAAAAAGCAAAATAAATGACTATTTTAGAGTGCAAATAACAACGTAGAATTTCAAAGGAGTTTAATTAATAAATATTGAACGGAAATTTTTGTGACAATCGAGACATAATACCTTCATTGAGCAATTCTTCTACGGCATCATTCTCTGGCTCTGTCTCAACAATGTTTGGGTTGTTATTCGTGTGATTGTCAGATATGTCCCCTGAAAAATGGAATCATTTATGTTTATATCCCATCATTCTCTATTGGGAAATATATTTCTCCCTTTTCCTATCTTATTTCTGCTGTAGTTTAAATTGAACTATTCTATTAAGGATAGATCTAATTCAACGGAAAAGACTTGGGTCGAAACCAAAACCGACACTACTCACACAGTTGACGTCTCTCTTTTTATCAACAAAAAAAAAAAAAAAAAAAAAAAAGACATCTCACTTTTTAATGAATATGAACAAAAAAATATGTCAAATATTAGTGGCCTTTCCTTTTGGAAGGCCGAATAAATTGGGCTCACTACACTTTGTATACAGTACGACAAAAAGGCAAAGAGGTATGTTTGGCACCTCAAAGTTGAGGAGTTCCTCATAAAATAAAATAAAATAAAATAAAATAAAAAAAAACACTTCATGATTGATTCACAATTTTAGTTTATGATAAAAATTGTTCAGAATTATAAATTACTCAATAAAAATCAACTTTGTAGAAAATTAATTAATTCTAAGGTTGTTAGTTAATCAATTGTAGCAAATATATACAAGAAAAAGAGTTGGAGTTGGACAGGAAAAGGAAAACAGAGGGAAGAGAGAGGACTCCCTGCTCCGCCTAATTAACGCTTCCTTCTCCACTGCTTTTGCCTTCTTGTTTTTCTTTTCCCCTGTTTTGCTCTTTCTCACTTTGTCATCCTCACCGGATCCTTTTCTTATAGATTTTGTGATCGTAACCGTTCATCGTACATCATGCGGTTAATTTTTGTTAGGTACTATTTAATTTAATTTTTAAATTTAAAATGATTTCTGATCATATGATGTACAATGAACGATCATAATTATGAAATCCCTAAGAAAATGATCCGGCAAGGATCTTTTCCCTTTTTGCTTTTCCCCTGTTTTGCTGTTTCTGTTAGCTAGCACCTTTTGCTAAAAAGAAAAAGGAAAAAAAGTGGAAAGAGTTATCCTACTTCTTAGTCCGATATTACATCAAACACTTCATTACGTTAGTTCAGTTTAGTTTAGTCTAAATCAGTCCAACTTAATCCCAGAAGCTAGTCCATTTCGAGATAATCCAGTATTTCCGAAGATAAAAAAAAAAAAAAACGCAACTCACCACCCAGCAAAAGAAAGATCAATGGTATCTGATTTATAAGGTTGAACATCAGATGCGATGCATTTTCCTAGGTACTTTCGAAGAGTCAAAGAGCACTCTGCATCCGCCAAATACTCCAAGATTATTCATTAAAAGACCCTTAGACGGGATCAACTGCAAATGCAACTGAAAATACAAACAAAATTGTATTAAACATTTGGCCTCGCATCTCACACTACAAAAGTAGTAATAAGGATATCCAAAATTACAAAAGTAACAAAATACTGGTAAGAATAAGTTCCACATTATTAGAGAAGGAACCTTGAATAGGCTTATAAGTAAGTTGGATTACCTCCTATATTGCCGATTCGTTTTATGGTAAAAAATCAATTTTCTTCGTGATATCAACGTGTGAAGTCAAACGGCCACACGCGTTCCACGTCACCACGTTGTGTCGCCCACACATGAAGCAACATATTGAGAATAAGTATCACATTGATAGAATGAGGAATCTTGCATGGACCTGTAAGTAAGTTAAGCTACTTCCGGCATTGCTAATTAATTTTTATGGCAGAGCCTATGCTTTCTTCAAATACAGCAACTTTCACAAAATCTCTGCCGGTTAGAAAATTGTCCAGAACCAAGTAAAGTACTGCTTTTAAAATCAACATACTTCTTTTTGGTTTGCAAGTGAATACACTTGAGTAAAAAACGAAAGGGCAGAGTGAAAGCCGATAGCAAACCCAACCCTGTTCATCTTCTTGGACTGCTCTGTTCATCCCATCAAGGACCTTATATGCCTCGGAGTGTACTGAATCCACCCTCATTGAGTAAATTTTGACTCCACCTTCAAGAGTGCAGCTTGCCTGCACAGATAGAGAAGTGATACATATTTAAGCAAACATAGCGTATCCAATCGGTTATATGAACATTCGGCCACTCACTTCAAAAGTGGTTTTACCAAAATCTTGGTCTTGATAAATTTCAAACTCCAAAACTAATCCGAAACATCGTAGCATCAACAGGCGAAATTTACCTTTTGAAAATTCGTCTCTGCATCGTTTTCCTCTTCAACCTTAATAATTAAGCTCCCATATATTTTTCTGATTAATTTTCTGCGCACCCGACAGCTCAAAATCGAACATTTAAGAAAAATTTCATAACAAACATCAAATTTTAATACAGTAAAAATGGCTCACTCATTTGACAAATAAAATACTAAAAAAATTGAAACTTTTTGTTAAAAAAGAAAATAATTTCAAAACTTTCAATTACTTGAAAAATCTAAACTGACATTTTCACTGTCGAGTTTGATGCAATTCTGGAGCAGCTCGAGGATCTGCGCCTTTCCGAGGCAGGGATCGGGGTCTCCCTGCTGTGGCAGCAGATTGAGCGCAACGGACTTCCTTCGAATCGCTGCGGCGCGTGCTGCGCGAGCCTGCGCACGCTTGCGGTGGTCCTCGTTGGAGCCGAGGAAGAAGGGGCTGGTTGGAGAATGGAGACGAGCGGCCATTGGGAGCCTCTGCTTCGGGGTTGCCGGATTAGGGCTCAGAGTGTCGGGCATTGCAATCTGGAAAATCGAATTGGGAAATTAGGGTTTGGGATTGGGAAAGTTTACGAGAGTGGGGGAGCGTTCGAGATGGACACTGATGGGACGAACAGGCTACGCTCCATTTGATGCGTTTGAAATTTTTTTTGGGGGGCTTGAGAGGTATAATAAACTGCTTCTCGTGATATAAATATCCATTTTCTTTTGTTGACCAATCTTAGACCATCAATTTTACTTTTGTGTGTTGGGAGCTGCCAAGTTAGCATTTCAAAAAATTGATTATTCATTCTAACCAGCAGTCAGAATACATAAATATAATTACTTTTTGTTATTATGGTAAAATGTCACACGTAAAAGCAGAAGGGACACAATACAAAGACTAAATGTTCAAACACGTATCATTACAACCAGGGTGGATTTGGTTTTATTATACACGATCCAAATAACATTTCATGACAAAATTCAAATAAAATTTTAGCAATCTAAAACTAATAACATTAATACGAGGCCGAGTATTTAGGGTCTTCACAAGGCCAATGCTTTATTTTCCTGTCAAACACGCCTGCTCCATAAGTAGAAATGACTAACTCAAGAAGGAGGGGAAATTGCATCCATATGAAAGATGCAACTGGAACACTTGCAAGCAAAGTAAGTAGAATAGCAATAGATGATTTTCCATGAAGTATAATGGAAAGGGCTGAAGAAAAAGCTATCATCATTGCCGCGATCGATAAAAAAAGGGTGATAAGGCCTAATATCATTTTGTTGGTAATGATTTGAGGAAATCATTTTCGGCATAACGTGATGTGAGGATTCCCAAAAATATCATTACTGAAGTTATGGAAGAAAATAGTGATATAACATCTGAAACTATAAAAGTTGTGAATGCTCTCTTACTTAAGAATATAGGAAGACCTGTATCTTGTTTATTTCCACCAGGAACCGTAAACGCTGCAGCAAACATGGTAGTAACGATGAGAGCCCCTACGACTGTGCAAGATGTTGCTATACCTTTCATTGCCTTTTCACCCTCTTTCACCAAGTCCTTGTGACCCTTGGTAAACAATTCACGTGGTGTCATCTCATCTGTTTTATTTATTACTTCATGATCTACAGGTTGTGCAAAACGTTTCACCTCCTGCATGTCATTCAACAAAAACTTAGCAGAGATGTGACTATATATACATCCGAAGAGTAATTCTGATCTCTTGGTACAAATCCTTATGGCTAAGTCTCAAGGTATTTTCAGTTCAAGTTATGAAGATGGTGAATTGGAGAAAGGAGGGGGTTACATCATCAATTTTCACGAATATGATTAAGTAGTCTCTTATAGAATAACATAGATTTTATAAGTATAATATATAATTAATTCTATAGTAAGTAGTCACCTTGAACCATTGCAGTTCCCTTTGCACTTGTAAAGCTGCACCTCGAATAAGATTAATATGTGCGGCGGAGGTAATAGTTCCTACCACATGCAGCATGTTATTGCTCGACTTATCTTTCCTAGTTACGAACCACCATTTGCGTTGATCATCTAGTCCATATAATAGACTAAAAACTTTATGTTGACGACATTCAACTGCAAATTGAAGGATGTTCCGGCCTTTTTCATTGGTGATGTCATGAAGTTTATAATTTGCTCTGCATAAATGAGTAATATACTCCACATGCCCTTTTTTTATTGCTAGGAACATTGCTTTTTCCAAGCCTTGCAATTCTTTGACATCTTTATTTTTCGTCACTTCACACATGCGAGGTAGAAATTCAAGGATCCGAACATGGGCCAATTTCATTTGATATATACGATTGAATCCTATGTTGACATTCAAAACAAATCAAACAATATACCCTTAATTCTATATATAGAATTAGAAAATAATTGAAAATTAAAAAATATAGTAATTAAAAATTATTAAGACAATAAATAGGAAAAGAAAAGAAAAGTGATTTTTACACGTTCTTTTAAGTTTTTCACACATCCCTATTTATATAGGGACATTAGATTAAATAAAACAAACAAAATCAACAATCAAAATTAAACAAAAGTGTGTAAAAGACTAAAAAGAATGTGTGAAATGAATTTCCATAGAAATCAATTCATAATGTAGCGTACCCAAAAGTTTACCAAAGGTCTTGACAACTAGTCCACGAAATGAACTTGTAGCTGCATTGAAATTCCAAATTGTCAGTGAAGTCTTCAATTACCAATTAGTTATAAGGAAAAACTAATGAAAATGACTTGAAAACTTTGAGTTTTAACGATAAGGACAAAATAAAGGGTAAGGTGAATAATACCATGTTTGACTTTTTAGTGTAAAAATATGATTTTTCGTTAAAGTGAACAGTACCGCGGGCTTAAAACTCCCTTAGCTATATCCCCTTTTTATCAAAAAAAAAAACCAAAAGGTTATATCCCCGTTTAAACCATATAATATGGTTAAAAATTTTGATCTTTTTAGCATTACTTAATATGGTACAAAAATGTGGTGAGTTTCTTCGAAATCAAAATCAATAATGCGTACATAGCCTCCTTGTGCCTGCACATTTGTACAGTTGTTGGAGGTGAGTTTCTTTGAAACCAAAATCAACAACTCTAATCTACATATAAAAGACCTAGTAGGTGGGGGATTGCCCTAGTAGGTTAAACTTTTTTCTTCAATCCACTCAATCCTAGGTTTAAACTCTCTTTTTCTCCTTAGTTTCAATGAGTGTAGAATATCAATTTTAATAAAAAGGCAAAAAGGTTCCGAACTCCATAAATATTTCAAATAATTCCAAAACAAACACAATAATCAAACTTTAGTACCACTAGATTTGATAGCTTTGACCAATATTCTAAAAGCCGCTAGTCGGACTATGGGGCCTAAGCGGTTTTATTCAAATTTGATTAAATTATTATATGACTTATAAACAAGTGTCTACTTATAATACATAGTTGTACTGAAAAAAAAAATTGCAACATAGAATGATACATTGATTAATAGGTTGCAATGGATAAAAATATAAGACGAAGATTTGATCTGTATGTGGATAGAAGATAAGCCCCACCATCATTTGAAACCAAGTTAGAAAAGAGGTAAATATGAAGAAGATGACCTCCTAGCTCCTACATATCCATTGTCGAGGTAGATACCATAGTAGTAGGACTGTAGAAGTGAAAAATAAAAGGAGGAAGCATCCAAATGCATCTATAAATCAAGTTAAATAAAAAGGGAAAATATAAATGATATATACAGAACCAATAGGATGATTGACCTTGCCAATTTCACTTCAAGAATAAAGGCTTCTCCTAAAATATGGTCAATGGGTTTATCTTGAAATATATGGGCTTCTCCTGAAATACTGCTTGCTAACTGATTTATATATAGTTGTGGTACCTTAATTTATGAAACAACTAAACATTAACAAAAATAAATGGCACGTCTGTCATGTAACATGCGTACCTGAGCAAATGAGATGCCCTTGCCTTTTACTACTCTGGTTGCCATCTTCCGGTTTTTGAACGTTTATACAAACATCATCATCAGTGGTATGAATAGGTTCCTCAGTTGTAGGCATTGGTTTTATTTGTATGCCTATCAAGATAAGAATACAATCCCACCTATATAGTAATACACGATATAATCTAGTTCCTTGAACCAAGAATTTTCTATTGCTGCTTCTAATAAGAATAAAAGAAAATAGAAAGCTTAATTAGGACAAAATTTAAAATGAAGAGAAAATGGAAATCATTACTAACCGTCATAAATCCATTGTTCACAGAAATTGAGTGAGCTTCCACTTAAGAATGCAGAACGCATACCAGCTAGTTTATTTAAAGGTGTTCTCCCGTAAAAATCTTTAGCAATGACTAACTCCGGACGGCGCTGAATTAAATCCCACGCAATATCTACATATTGTGGAGTGTTTAGAAAGAACCTCTATAGATCTAGCTATGAAATTAGCTTAGTCTCAACATTATTAATATACAGTGGTTTTATAGTATTTACACAAGGGGAAAAAAAAAAAATTAAGGCGGCACTAATAATAATAATTATTTGAATGTTGATCTTACCAAATCTTTTTAACATAAAACCGTGGATAATAAGCATAGCGCATTCGGAATCGTTCAGGGTTTCGTGCGGAGTGACGGAATAAAGGTACTGAGCCATTTTTTCTCCTTTTTCATGACTACGACTATGAGCCTGAATAAGTGGGGTAATTTTTCCGACCAAAGGTGTGATGGTTTTCTCGGGAAAGACAATACTGAGTAACTTCATGTTCTTGTCAACCATGCATTTTGCTAGTTCGACGCTTTCTGGAGTTCTTTCTATAACATAATGAAGAGCGGTAAGACCCCTAGAGTTCTGTGTTTCCAAGTCCTCTGGTCTCATTAAGTCCACCAATTTTTTTGCAAGCTCCACCTTCTCAATATGACTGCCAGGTGAAGAATTGTCCCATCGCTCTCGCCATGTCTTGCAGTTACTGCCCTGGGATGTTGGATAAGAAACTCCATTGCAGCATCCCAATCTTTCTTCTTCACTAAATTGTGCAAAGTTTGATTGTCTTCGTTTCCTGCCAAGCTAGCTAATGTTACATATATATCCCCATAAATAATGTACGTAACATATAGTTGCTACCCTGATCACCAAAAGAAAAACAGATAGACTATATACTTGTTACGGATTTTTCTTATTCTTCTTAATTTTATTATATGTATATAGAGTACTTTTGTTCTATTTTACTATTGAACACCATCTTTTTTTCTTTGTAAATTGCAACTGTTAATAAGAATCCAAAGTCGATAGCATCATTCATTTTAGTTTTTTCCTTGTAAAAAACGAAATAAACGACAATTTTTGAATGAAAATAACGATGTAGAGGAGTTTAAGTAATAAATATTGAACGGAAATCTTTGTGAGAATCGAGACACAATACCTGAATCTATTGCCGACCATTCCTCTAGCTCCGCATCAACAGTGGTTGGGTTGTTATTCGTGTGGTCATCTGATATCTCCTCTGAAAAAATGGAATCATTTATGTTTATGTTGCATCATTCTCTTTTGGGAAATATATTTCTCCCTTTTCCTTTCTTATTTTTGCTGTTGTTTAAATTGAACTATTCTGTTAAGGATAGATCTGATTCAATTGAAAAAAGGCAAGCCGAAGCCAAAACTGACACTACTCACACAATTGACGTCTCTTTTTATATTGACAAAAAATAAAAAATAAAAAAGACGTCTCTCTTTTTAATGAATATGAGCCAAAAAAAGTCAAATATTAGTGGCTTTTTCTTTTGGAAGGCCAGTTAAATTGGGCTCACTACACTTTGTATACAGTAAGACGAAAAGGCAAAGAGGTATGCTTGGCACCACAAATGAGAGTTCCTCATAAAATAAAAAACCTTCTTGATTGATTCAAAATTCGTGCTTATGATAAAAATCAGTTCAAATGATAAATTACTCAATAAAAATCATCTTTGTTGAAAATCAATTAATTCTAAAGTTATTTAGTCAATTAATTGTAGTAAATAGATATAGATGATTTGTAACACTTGTGTTGAATCTAACATCTTGTTTTTAGACAGTTCAATGACTAAATGATCTTATATTTTATTCATTTTACAAAAAAAAATCTTTACAAAGTGATTTATAACATTAAAAAAATTTGATCACAAACATAAAATTCTGTAAATCAATCACAAAGTATTTTGACAATGAACTTCTCCTCTTCGTGTGAGGATCCAACTTAATTCCAAAGACAAATGCCTAATTATATGGAAAAGGAGAAGGTGCACATACCAGTTCCTGTGGCTTGGCATGCTTCAGCTGGCTTCAACTTTTCTGCCAAAATATCCCAGGCAATTTTGGCTCTGCGTGTGCCCCTAATAAAGAGAAAGTATCGGCCCCACAAGAAACCTGGATCGAGTGCAAAGCCTCGGCATTACTCTTCCTCCAAGCTTTAAATTCAACTTCACCATCTTCTCGTTTAGGAGGCTCAGTGGTGGCTTCCACAACTTCCCAAAGACCTTTTGCCAACAGGTAGGTTTCAACTCGCAAACTCCATTCGTCATAGTTATTTTGGTTCAGAAGTTCATGAACAATTGGACTTGGGACAACTGTGTCTGTCATCATCAATCTGTAAGTTTATGAAATCTGAATTTATATCGATCGAGCATATGTTAGAACAAACTAGTAAGAAAAAAAACTAATACTCACAGATTGATTTTTGGGCAATCTTCAGATTAAGCTATGTGCACATAGTGCAGCCAAAGTTCATCTTTGGGTATGCTCGTTTATGATAACAAATCAGCCATTGAAAAAAGACTCGAGAGATCACTATTATTTGTATTACAACTGAACATGGGAGCACGTACTGAATAAAAAAAACAAAGGGATCCAGCTCCACCGGGACAAATTAATTGATAAAGTAAGCCCTAAAGTCGTCGTAATGCCAGTCACCCACGAAGTCAACCCCTATTTGCTTCAAAGTGATTTTCTCTCCCTCTTATAAAACTCGACGAACCCACATCCCAGATTTCCCCTCCGTGCTTCCCGGAGGAACACCTGTCTGGTTCCGCTCTGGATCTGATCCAACGTCAAGTTGTGATACCGCAATTCTAGCCTCCTCCGCTACCCAGCAGCTCCCTTGCTAGGCAGTATCCTTTGAGACAAAACAAAACAAATTCAAAGTTTCAAACTTCAAAGAAGAAGATAATATTATCCACACGAAGGACGGTTGGGCTAGCCTCACAATGAGCCAGCAATAATGTGATTTGATCAATTATTTATTAAATATTGTTTTTTCTCTTCTTAATGTAAATTCTATAAAAATTGATTTTATTATATGAATTCAACTGTTTTAATTAATTTATAAGGGGTTTCTTTTAACATGATATAAAATTATTCATTCACTTCAAATATTTGACTTTTTTTGTCAATTTACATATATAAATATATTTAAAATGTGTAAGTCACATATAACACGTCGTGATTAAAAAATACGCGTGCATAAAGACTAGTTATATGGAAAAGGCGAAGGTGCACAGACCGGTTCCTGTGTCGTGGGATGCTTCAGCTGGCTTCAACTTTTCTGCCAAAATATCCCAGGCCATTTTGGCTCTGCGGGTGCCCCTAATAAAAGAAAAAGTATCGGCCCCACAAGAAACCAGGATCGAGTGCAAAGACTCGGCATCACTCTTCCTCCAAGCTTTGAATTCAACTTCACCATCTTCTCGTTTAGGAGGCTCAGTGGTGGCTTCCACAACTTCCCAAAGACCTTTTGCCAACAGGTAGGTTTCAACTCGCATACTCCATTCCTCGTAGCAAAGTTCAGAAGTTCATGAACAATTGGACTTGGGACAACTGTGTCTGTCATCTTCAATCTGTAAATTTATCAAATATAAATTCAGTGGCGGAGTAAGAAATTATGTTAAGGAGAGTCAATTTTAAGTGACGATAAAATTATGATAAATTGAACTTATAAATGAAAATTACTTACGAAATTATCATAAATATCAATAGCATAAAAAATATTCTAAGTTTCCAACCTTGATATCGTTAGGATTAATTAATTATATTATCGTAAATAACACTTTACATCACCAACAGAAAGCTTGCATATGCACTTTGGTGCGAATTCTAATAAAACTAACTGGATAGTAGTATGAGAACATGAAACTTAATATCTTTTATTTGATTAAGAGGCAAAGAATGATATTATGAAATTAAGTGTTGGACCCTCAAGTATGAGCAAATTACACTTGTGAGGAAGGTCAACTATAAATATAAAAGCCATGCTACATCAATGTGGCACATCTAAATACAACATTTTCAAATTGTTATGAAGGTCATTTGACACTCCTAGGCATTAACTGGCTCCGCTAGTGTATGAATTTATGTCGATCTAGCATATGTTAAAACAAACTAGTAAGAAAAAACTAATTCTCACAGATTGAATTTTTGGGCAGTCTTCAGATTAAGCTATGTGCACATAGTGCAGCCAAAGTTCATGTTTGTGCATGTTCGTTTATGATAACAAATCAGCCACTATAAAAAGGCTCATGACATCCCTAGTATTTGTATTACAGCACCGAAGACAAAAAAACAGAGCATTCAGCTTCACCGGGACAAAAAAAATTAAAAAAATGATCTGGAATATGAAAAAGAAAAAGAAAAGAAAAAGAGAATTAATTATTATATTTTATATTCCTGTTTCTTAGTTTGATACAACTCCAAATATTTCATTAAGTCATTCCAGTTCAGTCCTTGAAACTTGTTCAGATCATATGATAGTTCAGTGCAACAAATGCATTCTAACTAGTCAGTTATCCCCAAGTCGGCCTGGGTAAAACTATAGAAACTGGAAACTTCCTCTGTAAGCTTTCCAATTGTATTTCTGAATTAATTAGTTTGTACACTGTGAAGACATATATATAGCCTTTGGCTATTTACAAAGATACCCCTTAACTACCTACCTTATAACAGTTCTAACTAATCACAAACATTAGCACAGCTAAGTACATTTAGAGATAACAGACTATTTTACAGTAACTGAAATGGGTGACTTGTCATTTTCCCTAATACACCCCCTCAAGCTAGAAGGGGAATCAGAACAGATTCCAATGGGTAGCTTGGAGCACAAGAACTGAAATCGACTTTTGGATAAGGACTTGGTGTGAAGATCAGCTAATTGGTCTGCACTGCAAACATACTGAACTTTGAGAAGATTAGCTAAAACCAATTCTCGAATATAGTGGTAATCAATCTCAACATGCTTTGTACGAGCATGAAAAACAGGATTAGATGCTAGGGAGATGGCTGAGATGTTGTCACACCAAAGTGTAGGCAGTGTAGGGATAGGGAAGTGAAGATCTCTGAGGATTTTGCAAACCCAAGTAAGTTCAGCAGCTGTATGAGCTAAGGAGCGATATTCAGCCTCTGTAGATGACCGTGCAACAGTACTTTGTTTCTTAGCACTCCAGCTAATGAGATTGGAGCCTAAGAACACACAATAGCCACTGGTAGATCTTCTATCAAAAGTGCAGCCAGCCCAATCAGCATCAGAGTATGCTGAAAGATGGGTTGAACCCTTGGTGAACCATAAACCATGGGAAAAAGAACCTTTAAGAAATCGAAGAACTCGTTTAGCTGCCTGAAGATGTTGTTCCCTGGGAACATGCATGAATTGGCAGATCTGGTTGACAGCAAAAGCGAGATCCGGTCTAGTCCAAGTAAGGTATTGTAATCCCCCAACAATAGAACGATATTCAGTGGGGTTGGACAAGAGAGGCCCACTGTTATCTAATTTTGTGGAACTAAGGGGTGTGCAGCACGGTTTGGCACCCTCCATGTGTGTTTTCTTAAGAAGATCAATTAAGTACTTGGATTGATGAACAAAAATGCCATGGGAGGATCTGTGTACTTCTAAGCCCAAGAAGTAGTGTAAAGGACCAAGATCCTTGACTGGAAACTGAGAACTGAGTTGAGTGATAAACTGTTGACAGATTTGAGAGTGAGGACCGGTTACTAGAATGTCATCAACATACACAAGAACAATAACCAAATGAGGACCATGACGAACAAACAATGAGGCATCGGATGAAGATTGTTGAAACCCAAGAGAATGAAGAGCTTGAAAAAGTTTATCAAACCAAGCTCGAGGAGCTTGTTTTAGTCCATATAGGGATTTCTTCAACTTACAAACTGAAGTGGGAGAATTGGGATCAACAAACCCAAGAGGTTGTTGCATGTAGACATCCTCCTTTAAGTCACCATGAAGAAAGGCATTGCTTATATCCAATTGATTGAGAAACTAGTTATGTTGGACAGCAAGACTGAGTAAGATCCGAATGGTAACTGGCTTGGCAACTGGACTAAAAGTCTCTTGGAAGTCAATACCTTCTTGTTGATGAAAACCCTTTGCCACTAGTCTGGCCTTAAATCTGTCAATGGTGCCATCAGCCTTTTTCTTAACTCGAAACACCCATTTACATCCAACTATATTTTGGGAAGGATGAGAGGGGACAATGGACCAAGTACCAGTAGAGATCAATGCATTATACTCATCTTGCATTGCAGCTCGCCAATGAGCATGCTTAGAAGCTTGCAGGTATGTACTAGGAACATAATCAGTGTCAACAGGAAGAGGATGCTTAGTTGCTGCATAGGCATGAGGGAGAGATTTATAAATGCCAGCCTTGGATCGTGTGATCATTGGATGAGAATTAAGAGGAAGAGGAGGAGGATTGGACTGACTTAAGGGTAAGGTGGAGGATTCAGAAACAAAGTCAGAACTGGAAGCAGCAGGGACTGAAATGGGTTGAGAAGAAGAAGGATGGGGAGAAGCAGAGGCAGAAGGAGAAACAGGTGAAGAAGATGGTGCACGGCTAGTAGAGATATGGGGAATATATTTCTCAAAATAAAGATCCAAAGAGGAAGAGCTTGCTGGTGAGGATGGGTTGGGACAGAAACAGGGAGGCTGCAGGGATTGAAAAGGATAAGAACTTTCATCAAAGACAACATGTCTGGAGATGTAAATTCGAGTGGTGAGGGGATCAAGAAATCGATAGCCTTTGTGTTGAAGGCTATATCCGAGAAAAACACAACTTTTGCTCTTGGCATCTAATTTGCTGTGAACATATGGTTGGAGCCAAGGGAAGCATTGGCAACCAAACACTTTAAGTTTAGAGTAATCTGGGGGTTGCTTGAATAATAATTCCCATGGTGATGAGGAAAGACCAGATATGGGAAGCCGATTAATAAGATAGATGGCAGTGGAGAAGGCTTCAACCCAAAATACATGAGGAACATTAGAAGCAACTAGCAAAGTACGAGCTGTCTCAACAAGATGCCTGTGCTTTCTCTCAGCACAACTATTCTGTTCAGGAGTATGTGGACAGCTAAATTGGTGAAAAATGCCATGTGTACTGAGAAAGGAAGCAAAAGCGGTACTGATGAATTCACCCCCTGAATCTGAGCGCAAAACTTTGATTTTATTGCCAAGTAAATTTTCTACATAAGATTTGAAGACAACAAATGTAGAAAAAACATCTGACTTGGACTTCAAAGGAAAAAACCAGCTATATTTGCTAAAGTCATCAACAATGAGCAAATAGTACTTGAAACCACTGTTTGAGATAACAGGCGCTGGACCCCACAGATCACAGTGTAGAAGTTGAAGACTGTGAGTTGTTGTTGAAGAAGAAATTCCAAAAGGAAGCTTATGATTCTTGGCAAGAGCACAATCTGAGCAGAAGAAATCAATAGTAGACTTGCCTTGTAAGGACAGTTTATTAGTAGAAAGTACCCTTCTGAAAATAGAGGAGGATGGATGACCCAAGCGTCGGTGCCAAACTTTGACAGGAGCCTTGACACTGAGCAGAGCTGAGGGAGAAGAATGTGAAGAAGAGCTGGAGCCTTGAAGAGGGTAGAATCCATCTCTAACGGGTCCCCGCAAAAGCATCTTCCCCGAAATACGATCCTTGACAGTGGATCCATAAGGGTCAAGGGTCAATGAACAGTTATTATCTTTGAGAAACTGATAAGCAGACAAGAGATTATGTTTCATGTAGGGAACGTGTAAAACATTCTGCAGCTGAAAGGAAGTATGAGGAGTATGCAAAGCAGATGAACCAATATGATGAATAGAAAGACCTTTACCATCACCAATATACACTTTATCTTCACCAGTATAGGGAGTGGGAGAAGAAATGTTGGCAACATCATTAGTAATGTGAGAAGTCGCACCCGAGTCAATCAACCAAGGCTGAGCTGGTTTGGCAGATTGATTGACATACATAGCAGCGAGTTTAGCTGGAGGAATCCGACCACAGATGTCAGGATTCATTCGATCAAAACAATCAAGAGCCTCATGACTGTTAGAACCACAGATTTGACAAGGAACTTTGAAATGGGAAGAGCCTTGAAGATGACGAGAGCCTTGAAAGTTACGATTTCCACGAGTGTTGGAGTAATTGCCACGGTTCATTTGAAAATTGCGATTGCCTCTGTGAGAGAAGGAATGGCCTCTGTTATGTCTGCCACGATTTGCAGATTTTGATTGTTGCCAGGATGAAGATTGGTGCTGAACAGCGAACACAGAAGGAGTAGGTAGCAGAGGAGGCTGAGAGTGCACCGAGAAGGCTTGAAAAGGTTCAGCAGCAGAGGATGAACTGATATTTTTGCGTCGAGCCATGGACAGTTCTTTAGTGAGAAGAAGACCATGGAGTTCATCAAGAGAGGTAGAGGACAATCGAAGCATGATTGAGTCAATGAATGACTCAAAATCATCAGGCAAGCCATGAAGTGTGGCTGCAATTAGGTCGCGATCAGAAACGGAGGCACCAGCAGCTTGCAAGGAGTCTGAGATTTCCTTAATTTCTTGAAGATACTCGGAGATGGAGCGAGAACCTTTCTGAACAGATTGGAGACGCGACCGTAATTGATGAATATGAGCCTCTGAAATTCCACCAAATCGCTGTTCAAGCTTCAACCAGAGTTCGCGAGACGAAGAAACACCCACCGTGAAGGGGATGATTTCCTCAGAAAGTGTGGAATTGAACCAGATCAAGAGATTTTGATCTTTTTCGTACCATTCCTCAAAGGCAGGATTAATGCTGCGATCAGTTAGGAAAGGCGATGGACATACATCAGTACCATCAATGATTCCAAGAAGCTTGTAACGCCGTAGGATTGGGCCAAACAGCGCACGCCATGGCAAATAGTTCGATCGTTTCAGCTTGATCGGCACCATACTGCCGATGTTATGGATCGTAAGGGAGGTGTAGGAACTCAGAGGACTTGGATTTCCAGAGAAATTAGGGTTTTGAACCGACGGAGAAGACGATTCAGGTGGTGGCGAAGATGATTGCGCCGCCATAGCTTGCAAAGACGTTGATGCAAGAGAGATCGAAGAAGAGAAACTGAAGAATCAGAGGAGAAGAACAGAAAGATCGATCAAGAATCGATCGATCGATCAAGGCGAGGGAGCGGAAGGATCGATGCGGTGAAGCAGAAATGGCGTGATACCATATAGAAACTGGAAACTTCCTCTGTAAGCTTTCCAATTGTATTTCTGAATTAATTAGTTTGTACACTGTGAAGACATATATATAGCCTTTGGCTATTTACAAAGATACCCCTTAACTACCTACCTTATAACAGTTCTAACTAATCACAAACATTAGCACAGCTAAGTACATTTAGAGATAACAGACTATTTTACAGTAACTGAAATGGGTGACTTGTCATTTTCCCTAATAAAAACCATTTCAAGTTTAACAGAAGGTTTTTTATTTATTTATTTATAATTTTTTATAATCAAAATGATCTCTGAGATTAACATAACTAATCACTTTGGTCCCTGTGATTTGAAATCGATAAAAGTGGTCCTTGAGTTTGTCCACCATCAATCGTTTCGGTTATTCTATGAAAAGTTTTATTAAATAATGACCAAAATGACAAAATATCCTCCATTTAATAAATAATGAGCTAAAATGATTTGACATAAATTGAAGCTATTTTTTTTCATTTTATTCTTATTTAATGGATATTTTTTACTAAAATGATTTATGATAGACAAACGTGGTGGAATGCGATAACAGCATTGCGCACGAATCAAGCATTCTCTTTGAGTCCCATCTCCTTTCTTTGTACTTAAAAAACACTCACATCACTCAATTTCACACCAATTTGACACTAAAATTTCCTAATTTAATTTCAAATTGGAAATGGGAACTGTTATTAGCACTCAAAAAATTTTATTCTGCACTCCTCACAAGTGTATTTTTCTTTCTAATTATAGAAAATTTAGAATGCTAAATGAGAATTTTAGAGTGCTAATAACAATTCTCTTAGAAAATTGACCTTTAGAAATGCGAAATTGTACAGATTAGGTGGTGAAGAGCTTGAGGAACTAAGCAAGAGCGTAAGTGAGGAACATAGCAGGGAGAGCGAGGTCCAATGGGATCGACGATGCCATCAATGGGGAGGACGAGTCGTCGCATCTGCAGCCGTCATCACCTGGTCCATTCTCTCTCACGAGCAAGACAATGGAACCTAGAAAAGAGAGAAAGAGAAGGAGTATGAGGGCTGGTTTGGTATTGCTGTGCTTTGAAAAAAAGCTGATTCTGCTGTGTTGTGAGAATAAGCGGCTGTGAAATAAAGCAGCAGAGTGTTTGGTAAACTTTTTTGTAAAAGTGCTTTTGAAAAAAAAAACAGTATTATAGTGTTTGGTAAACTTTTATGTAAAACAGATGTGAAAAAAAGTCGATTTTTCAAAGCTGGGTTTTGCAGCTTCTTGTTTTTGGCTTTTTTTTCACCAAAAACTGTGAAAAAAAGCTGAAGCTGAATGTTTACCAAACACAAAAACAGCTCCCAGCTTTTTTTTATACCAACTTTTTTCATAATCACCTCAGTACCAAACCAGGTCTGAGTCGCCTGGGCCCCACAGTCGAGTTCAACCAGGAAAAAAAGGTTGGTGGATTTTTTTTCTCTCTTACTTTTTTTTTTTTTTTTAATAAATGCAGTGGATTTGGTAAGAAGCAAGAAATATAGAATTTTTTATTTTTGATTCACTGTGGAAGAAGCAAAGTAATTTCCATGAAACAAGAAATTATCTTCATCCTTCACAAGTAAAGTGCTTCTTCTATCCCTTATTCGGTACATCACATGAAACTCAGAAGTTTTAAGGTCAATTTTGCATTTTGATTCTCTCACAGAAGTTTTAAGTTTTATTAAAAAATGACTAAAATGATAAAATATCATCAATTTAACAAACGATGAGCTAAAATGATTTGATATAACTTAAAGCTATTTTTGTTATTTTATTCTTATTTAATCAAGATTTTTTTATCAATTGATGGCGGACAAACGTTTCAGAATGTGATGACGACATTCCTTGGGAATCAAGCATTCTCTTCGAGTCCCATCTCCTTTCTTTGTACCTTAAAAAACTCACATCACTCAATTTCACATCAATTTGACACTAAAATTTCATAATTTAATTTCAAATTGGCAAACTGAGATGCAGAAATGCGAAATTGTACGGACCATGTGGTGAAGAGCTTGAGGAACTGAGCGAGAGCACATGCGAGGAACGCAGCGAAGAGAGCGAAGGTTCGATGAGATCGACGCCGTTGTTGACGGCGAAGACAACGTTGTCGCATCCGCAGCCGTCGTCACCTAGTCCATTCTCTTGCAAGAGTCAAGATTGTGGAAACTATAAAAAAAAAAATAAATAAATAAAAAAAAAAAAAAAAGGGGAAAGAGGATGAGGAGTATGAGTCGACTGGGTCTCACAGCCAAGTTCAACCCACCAATCAGAGATGAGTTGGAATGGATTGTCACTGTCCAATCAGGACAATGGGACTGCTAGATTTTTTTTTTTTTTTTTTTTCGCATGTTTGTCGATTTGTTCTCTTAACTTGTATAGAGCTGACAATTTTCTGCTTGAACTTTAATTTTAGCCGATTACCCCCTGAACATATAATTAGCTAATTTCCTACTTGAACTTTAATTTTAGTCAATTAGCCCCTGAACTTTTATAAATAGCCAATTTCTCTAGTAACGCTAGTTTAGGGAGGAAATTGGCTAATTATAAAAGTTCCGGGAGGTAATTGGCTAAAATTAAAGTTAGGGGGAATTGACACCTCTATACAAGTTATAGGGGCAAACCGACAAATACCTCTTTTGTTTTTTCTCTTACTTTTTTTATTACTTTTTTTATTTTTTATGAATGCAGTGGACTTGGTAAGAAGCAAGAAATATAGAATTTTGGAATTTTGATTCACTGTGGAGAAGCAAAGTAATTTCCATGGAACAAGAAATTCTCTTCATTCTTCACAAGTAAAGTGCTTCTTCTATCCCTTCTTGGGTACATTATACATAACTCATAAGTTTTAAGATGAATTTTGCATTTTGATTCTCTCTCCTCCTATTTCCCAATCCCTCGTATCCTCACTTTCATTCATAGCGTGTGAAACAAATCTTCACCTTTGAATTAGCTTGGAATTGTTTTGAATGACTGAACGGAAGGAAGGGATAGGAGATGTGAGAATCTGTCAATTTTAGGGTAGGTGGGACATGACATAGCAGCGCTCGCTATTGGTGTTATGCCGCGCAAAACACCTGGTCCGACAGGCCGTATGTTAGAATACCACCTCGCAACATGTTGGATCTGTGTCCGAGTGGAACCAAAATACAAGAGGTCTCATGGTTGCATGAAAGGTGCCCTATAAATGGCATGGTAGAGCAACCCGATCGAAGCTTTTCAGGAACCACAAAAGGGGCATTCACAACAAGACGTTCGACGGGATTGAAGTGAATAAGAATACTTACCACTACACCAGCAGAATAGTCGTATTTTGTTCGAATCCGACCTCAAATCTAAAACCGAAAGGCCTTTTCTTTTCTTTCTCGATTGTTTCTTTACACAATGAAGATCCGAACAACTCTCTCCACAATTCCTTTACAACCTCCGAAGAATTCTTTCTTTTTCATCGAAAAAAATGTACAGCTAACTAAACAAAGAGTTGCAACACACTCTTAAGGGATCATCTTCTGAGTATCGTCCTCGGGTATGGATGCTGATGAAAAAGAACCACTATATTTGCTGGGCATTGGTGTATTCCTTCGAGAACTGCGTTTTGTTAGGACAACTGCGGGCTCCTTCTCAAATTCCTGGGCAGGCGCATCATTCTCGCTGTCATCTTCACCCCTGAAAACTGGGTGGATGTACGCATTTTGAAGGAAGCCCTTCATGTTCAGACTCGGCTCTCTTGTGCGTTCTAATGTATCTTTCATCATTGCTTCCTGCAATCCACCATAAGAAAATGTTCATCACAGTCAAATCACTTCGACCAGCACAACGAAGAAGTATGGCAACCAATAGTGAATGCAACAAACCTGCAAGGGATGTCTGATGAAAGCAGGTTCGTAACGGCCTTTGCAGAATCTATGGAACCATATGGTCAACACTGGGAGTGTGATGAGCAGTGGAGTTGACTGAGCAGCTTCTTTTGTGCTTAACAATCCCATCAGCAGCAGTTGTGAGACAAGTAGTGCTGTTATGATGCGCCCGTGGACATCAGGCCAGAATGCCGCAGCACTTTCATACTCTTGATTATAGACGTTTATAATCTAGAATCGACCAACAAAATGCATTAGAATTTCGCAGAATTACTCAGTCAAGAAATGAATATCTCAACCAAAAAATAACTAAACCCTTCTCTTGGAAAATGTCACAACTTACCTGATGACGATAAACAACATATGCCAGGGCAAAGAATACTATTATGAACGGAAGTAGGATTGGTGACACCACAGCATAAACAAGGCCAAGTAAGAAATATAGTTGTATTTGAGGTTCACCGGTGTTGAACCCAAGGGTTCCGGGATCCATGGCCTCTTCCCTATCCTTTTCAGTCTTCACCAAGAAGAAATTTTTCAGGTGATATATAATCAAGGGTTTCAACCTTAGAATCTCACCAGCAATTCCGGCCCACCCATCAACCATTATATAAGTGATAAAGAAGGTTGCCTTCATTGGAATTGAAACACCAATTGTCTTCGGGATCCTGCAAATAGCCAATTAATTATCAAAACTTTTTGCATCAAGCATCACTGTCGATATCAGATACAGAGCAGACAAAGCTTATATTCATTGCAGTCTATCAATTTATGCACGCAAGAGATGATGTCAAAACTTGATTGACTTGCTTTCTTCCACGATCTCACATTAGTGTATTTGTACGAAATGAAAAAGTACATTCCATATAACTAACCATCAGGATACTGCAAACTAAATGGAGTTGAGGTGCAAATATAAGGACATACTCATTGGCAGATTGGTGAATGAATTCATCTAGTTGTTGAAATGCAGTTCCAGTGATTATGCTCCCAAGAAATACATTGACAAATTGGAAAATATAATATCTAGTAGCCGATCTCCTCTCTAGAGCTGATACACTACTGAAACCTTCAAATTTGGACATTACCATCAATATAGAGGGAAGGAATATAAGAAAAATCTTCAAAGCAATTCCAGGCAGTAAACCTTGGATAAATGATTTTATGAATTTCCTGCATGAAAAAATGGGATGTTGTTATTGCAAAACGACGGTATAAAAAAGTAATTAAGAGCTGACCATCCAGCCAGGGAACATTCAAACAAAGATATATTATATAGAAAGAAAATACTCACACTTCAATAATGGGCTTTAGGAAGGGGGCTGCTTTCTCAATACCCTCAATGTTTGCAAGGGACTGTACAAATGCAATGGGGATCATAAAAAAGAAGGTGAGGAAGAAGAAAGCAACAGCAGCTACAAGCCTCCTAATTGTCAATGTAACATAGGGGATAGCCAAGTTATCCCAATAAACATCACGGGGTTCTGGAGCCCACTCAGTCAACCATATAGTTGTTCTGGATTGTTGAGTTTGTGCACAAACAGCGGCACCCCATCGAGTTCTGAAGGAAACAAAAGCTGCTGGCATGATAGATTTAGGGCTACTTGTAATCTTATCTCTCTCCAAGGATATCTGTCAACAATAAATTTGATTTGAAAAAGAAAGAACATAAGTGTTCCTATAATGATTCATCTATAAAAGACGAAGAAGTAGTCAATCAGGACTTGAGCTAACTCCAAAGCTTTCCTTGTCCAGTGTCATATAGAAGCAACAGTGAGCAAGACTGGTGGAACAAATTTTACAGTAGTTAAAGGATACTTACTTCTTTTGATAGCCTCTCAGTCTCAGATGTATAAAAATCAATTGCATCCACCCGTTTACCCCAAAGACCAAGAAATCCAGTCTGCTCACAAGACGTTGTTAATGGAAATGAGAAATAGCATGATGAAAAGAAAAAGGAAGGAAACAAGAAGAGAAGTATTCAGTTGACATTGTAGCAGTACAATCTGATGGCTGGGGCCATCTTTGATTCTAGAGCAGAGGCGAGGAACGCAGTACAATCTGCTCTTTAGAAAAATTTCAGTTTTTGTTGACAAATATGGTTCTCTTTCCCCGAAATTTTGTGTTCTAAGTTCTAACTTCTAATCTACCTTACAATTCAAAGGAGTTGACAGATTATTCAACCAAGTTACCTGTTCATTGCTGCTAGATTTGAGGGATTCGTTTTACTGCTGTAATACTGTTAAAAAAATTCTTACTGTTGGCATCTGAATTACTGAAATTGTTTAGGGTTAAATCTACTAGTTAAAATCTCCTCCTCTTAAGATTTTCTTTTGTTTAGAAGCTTAATTCTGTTTTATATTTTGGGATGATGTGAAAAGCTTACTTTGATGCACTAAACGATGTAACACTTTGCTTCTGTTATTGGGTAAAGTTCAGATCTTTAGGCCTATTTAAAGGGAACCCCATGTGTTCCTTTTAATTTTGCATACATTTATATTTATATTTTTGTTTTGTTTATTTATAATAACCGTCATGTTATCTTTTTTTTCTATTTTTATTTGGTATTGAGCTCGCAGATTGTGAAAAACGAACTTAACCTTCCACTTACTTTGAGGAATATTATTAGACCATAGTTTTAGGAGCATCATAGTTATGGGTTAATACTGATGGGATTGGGAGCTATCAAAGTTTTTGTGAGATTACAATTTTGCCTTTTTCTATAACTTAAAACCACAAGGGTTTTATATAATTAGAGGCCTGAAGTTTGAGCCGATTGATATTCCCATAAGGGGAAGTTGATTTCCAGTGAACCACTAACTCCAAGGCTCTTCTCTTCCTCTTACCATGCAATAGGATTTTACTAACTCCATAATTCCTTGGTAAAAATCATCATAAAATCACTCTTTTCTTTGTTCTCAGTAATACTAAACGGTGTTGTTCTCAGATATACTTCGGATTCAACCCGTCAATGATAGGGTCTACTTTCCAAAATGGTATCTTAAAGGGTTAAGGTGTTGTCCGAAATTTTTATAGAGAGCAGAATGTACTGCGTTCCCCGCCTCTGCTCTCGAATCAAAGATGGCCCCAGCCATCAGATTGTACTGCTACAATGGCGGAATGTAATATGTCAACTGAATGCTTTTCTTCTTTCTGGATGTGATTTGTAATGTTTGCCTTCTTCGACTGATTACGAGATTTTGGCCCCTTACAGTGCAGGCTAATAATTTTTGTTCCCATTGCATTCCTAGCCTATGCAGTCATGGTTCCAGTCAATTAAAGTGAAGGTCCGCCGTAGTTTTGATTTTGTGATGATGGTAGAGAAATGAATTTGAGATGGGCTAAGGTTTGAGAGCAAGATGGAGAGAGCCCTGACGGCTCGAGGCTAGAGAAAAGCAGCTCTAAGTTTTGGGGTTGGAAATGGGAAATTCTATAAATACTAAAACTCAGTTGAGGAGCTTTACGGTGAAAGAACGGAATTGCACTGCCTCCTCTCTCACCCACCGCTTCATCCATCTCTTCTGTCGCTCTCAGTCACCGCAAAAACCTCAAACCAACAAATCCATTTCCAGAATTTCTCTCACAATTAGCCATTCTATCTCGCTCACCGCTTCATCATCGACAAATCCCCACCGCCGCCGCACTACAAACCCATCTCCGCCATCCACCGGAAAACCCAAGAAGAAATTTTGATCGTCGGCCAACACCCGGACTGTAGAAAAAGGTATGTAGGCTGGCTTGACGGCTGTAGGACGGCTTATTCTTCCAATAATAATATTATATACAATTACACAAGGACTCCAACCATATTCCTTATTTGTCTAACACTCCCCCTCAAGTTGGAGAGTGGATGTCAAGAACTCCTAACTTGCGTAACATACCCGAAAACTTTTCTTTCCCAAGAGGTTTGGTAAACAAGTCTGCCAACTGTTGTGCCGTACCCACATGCTTGGTCTCTATTGTGCCATCTACAATCTTATCTCGTATAAAGTGACAATCCATCTCAATGTGACGAGTTCGTTCATGAAAAACAGGATTGGCAGCTATATGTAACGCTGCTTGATTATCACAAAATAAAATGGAAGGACCATCCAAAGGAATGTTCAAATCCTTCAACAAAAAACTAAGCCAAACTATCTCGCAACAAGCACCTGCCATGGCCCTATATTCCGCCTCTGCTGAAGAGAGCGAAACGGTTTTCTGTCCTTTCGTCCGCCAAGAAATCAAAGAACCGCCCAAGAATACACAATACCCAGTAGTCGAACAGCGAGTGATAGGGCAACCTGCCCAATCAGAATCACAAAATGCAGTTAACTTGGTCTGGTTGTCAGAACGAAATAATAAACCTTGATCTGGAGTAGCCTTCAAATAACGAACAATACAAAGCGCAGCATCCATATGAGATATCCTTGGCTTGTGCATAAAACGGCTTAGAACATGCACATAATATGTGATATCCGGCCGAGTGATAGTGAGATATATTAACCGACCTACTAATCGTCGATACTTTTCAGAATCCTTGAGAAGTTCTCCTTTATCAGATAATTTTGTGTCATCCATAGGAAAAGCAATGGGTCGTGCTCCCAAAAAACCATAGTCCTTGAGAATCTCTAATGCATACTTGCGTTGAGAAATATAAATCCCTTGTTTGGAACGAGAAACCTCAATACCCAAAAAATATTTTAAATCACCAAGGTCTTTTATCCGAAAATGATCACGGAGAAAAGACTTCAGAGAATTAATGGCACTAGCATCATTGCCTGTAATCACAATATCATCCACATAAATGAGCAAAGCTGTGAAAGAAATACCAGACTTTTTAGTGAACAATGAATAGTCAGCTTTGGATTGTTGAAAACCGGCAGAAATGATGGCACTAGTGAATTTGGCAAACCATTGGCGAGAAGCCTGCTTAAGACCATAAAGTGACTTGTGAAGGCGACACACAAGATTCTCCCCCTGTCGCCGAAGACCAGAAGGAGGAGACATATAGATTTCTTCATGTAAGTCACCATGTAAGAAAGCATTATTAACATCAAGCTGATGAAGAGACCAAGACTGACTAGCAGCAAGAGCAAGAAGACAACGCACCGTAATCATCTTAGCAGTAGGAGAAAAAGTGTCATGATAATCAATACCTTCAGCCTGAGTGAAGCCTTTAGCAACCAAACGAGCTTTGTAGCGGTCAATGGAGCCGTCGGAATTGTGCTTGAGTTTGTACACCCACTTACAACCACTGGGAATTTTGCTAGGGGGCAAGGAAGTTAAAGTCCAAGTACCATTAGCATGTAAAGCTTGAAGCTCCTTAGTCATAGCACGTTGCCAATTGGGGTCAGTGGCAGCCTCGGCAAAGGAGGAAGGCTCCACAGTCCGACTGACAGAGTTAATGTAAGAAAAATTCCTGGGAGAGTAACGGTGATAAGAGAGAAAATTACAAAGTGGATATCGCGTACCTTGTGTAGAACCGGGTTGCGAAGTCGAAGATGGGTGGGATGGCAGAATCACCTGCGAGCAAACGTAGTCTTTTAAATAGGATGGAGGTTTATGGGCACGGGAAGAGGTGCGGGGAAGGGGAGGATTGGTAGGTAGTGGGGGGTTAGGGATGTCCGTGGGTAAAATGGTGAAAGGTAAGGAAGTAGCGGGGGGGGGGGGGGGGGGGGGGGGGGGGGGGGGGGGGGGGGGAAGGAGGGGATGCCGAGAGGGCAGGGGCATGGGGAGGAACGGGTAATGGGGCAGCAAGGGAATCTGTGGGAGGCGTGGAAGGGAAGGAAGGTGGAGGAGGGTGAGGCGTCGGGGTAGGAAGGGGTGGGTTATATGTAAAGTCCAGAGGGGGTGGGATGGGTAGGGTAGGCGAAGAGGATGAGATAGGAGGGTGAGAAACGGCATAAGGGAAAGTACTTTCGTGAAAGATGACGTCTCGACTAGTGAAAATGCAGTGATTGTCGAGATCGTAAAGGGTATAGGCCTTTTGTCCATGAGGATAACCGAGAAAAATGCAACGATGAGCCCGAGGGGAAAATTTGGTGGTGGGAGTGACAGAGGTGGCATATGCCAGACAACCAAAGACGCGGAAGTGGTCATAAGATGGAGTTTTCGAAAAGAGAACCTCAAATGGGGATTTATGATGGAAAAGACGGGTAGGGAGACGATTGATGAGATAAGTAGCGGTAAGAACACATTCCCCCCAAAACTTGATAGGAAGATGGGATTGAAAACGAAGGGCGCGAGCGGTTTCAAGAAGATGACGATGTTTTCTTTCAACAACGCCATTTTGTTGGGGGGTATAAACACAAGAAGTTTGTAAAAGCACCCCATGATTAGAGAAAAAACTACGAAGAGATAAAAATTCACCACCATTGTCAGTACGAATGCATTGGATGGTAGTGCGGAATTGGGTAGTGACATAAGCAAAAAAATCCTTAATTAATTGTTGAGTGTCGGATTTATGTTTCATGAGGAAGACCCACGTAAAGCGAGAAAAATCATCCACAATGGTTAAGAAATAATTAGCACCAGAAAGAGAAGATTGACGATTCGGGCCCCAAATATCACAATGAATTAAAGCAAAAGGGAAAGTTGATGAAATTGAACTCAAAGGAAAAGGTTGACGAGTTTGTTTTGCCAATGGACAAACATCACAAATATGACTAGAATCAAAAGTGCAATTAAGAGAGCTAGATGCTAAAGCTTGCAAACGAGTGGAGGAGGGGTGACCAAGACGCCTATGCCAGAGGGAGGAGAGGATGGTAATGATGTTGCAGAGAGGTTGACGGGTGGGGAGAGAAGAGGTAAGGGCCACAAGGTAATACAGATCGCCACGTCGCTTACCCACACCAATCATCGCCTTCGAAACCAAGTCCTGCAAAACACACCAAGAAGGAAAGAAGGTTATGGAACACGATAATCCATCTGTAAGTTTACCAACCGATAAAAGGTCCACTCGGAAATTAGGGACACATAAAACATCCTTCAAAGTAACTGAGGAATTTAAAGGAAGAGTGCCGGTAAAAGTAATGGGAGCGGAAGCACCACTAGGCAAAGAAACAGGCGGCAAATGTGAAGGAGAACGATTAACCAAACATGAAGTGGAAGAAGTAATATGATCCGTAGCACCACTGTCAAGAATCCATTGACCATGACGAGAGGTGACAGGTAACAAACTTTGGGCAAAATCAGTAGTGAGCACTGCATTGGCCTGAGGAGGGGTGGTGGTGTCACGTAGAGCAGCTAGAACACGGGAGTGCTGCTCGGCAGAGAGGTCAGGCATGGCAAGCTGCAAGTCATGCAAAGTGGGCTGGGTCCCGTGCACTTGGTGGGTCGCTGAAGTAGAAGAGGAGGCGGGGGCCTGGGTGCCTTGCACGTGATGGGCCTGGGTGAAATTATGGGGCCGGGAAGCAGAAAACCGTGGCTGCTGGGGAGGACTGGAAGGTGCATGGCTGCAGGAAGAACTGGAAGCAGTGGCTCGGCGCGGTGGTCGCCACGGTTGGCCATGGAGGGGATGGCCAACGGGATAGCCATGAAGTTTATGGCAGGTGTCTCGGGTATGATAATCAAAATTGCAGTAGGTGTAGTGGAGGGGAGGACGAGCAGAGGAGGGACGGGACGGGCCACGAACAGCCATGGGAACGGCAGAGAAAGCTGCCGAAAAAAAATTAGGGCTAGGGTTATAAACCTGCTCTGTATACCATGTAGAAAAAGGTATGTAGGCTGGCTTGACGGCTGTAGGACGGCTTATTCTTCCAATAATAATATTATATACAATTACACAAGGACTCCAACCATATTCCTTATTTGTCTAACACGGACTGCAACATCGTCTTGAGTCTGTAGATTCCACCTCCAAATCCTTTCCAACCCTTTTGCCCAAAAGCTCTGTCACCGATTTGTGATCAGGTAAGATATTGGGGTTTTTATTTGGCATTTCATTCATGTTTTCTTTGCTTAAAATAAGAGAACAAACTCAAGCGCTCAAACCAACAAATCAAATTCTACAAATTCTCTCACACTCAATCGAACCTATATATTGTTGTAGTAGTTGCAAGGACTGGAATCTGGCCTGCAGAAATGTTTATGAATTACAAAACTTGAAATGCACTTGCCTGGTTTGATATGTTCAGGTGAGCTCTGAGGCGGATAATTGTTCGGCTGTATATGGATTTCCTTTTGTTGGACTATGCTGCTTTAAAGTACTGGATAATCTGGATTGGTGCTATCAGTGAAAATGTCTCCTGTGTTGCTTTGGGGACTTTATTGATGCAAGTATTACTTTGTTTTTTATTTTCTTACAAGTTTTCAATCGAAAAAATAAAAAATAAATGCTTCATTCGTATGCATTCTATGTTGCTACTGAGGTTTACAATTATCTTTTATATTTTGGTTTTTATTTTTTCTCCTTGAGTAATATTTTCCTTTTACTGCATATTGTATCTTCTGTTTGGAAATGCCTCTGTTTTTATCTTGCTGATAATGCCTCTGTCAAAATTTTAAGGGCCTTTCTTTGTTTCATCCTATCATTTTCCTCATTTTCTATGTCCAATTATGAAGCGTCTTTTGATTTTTATTGATATACAGACCTTTTCTTTCTCTAATTATGCACTCATTTAGTACCCACATTTAAATTAAAATGTGAAATAAAAATCAAACTCTTCTAATTATGCACTCATTAGTGATATACACATTTACTAAATGAGTTGATGGATTTTTATTGATATACAGACATTTTCTTTCTCTAATCACGAGCTGACTAACTTTTTTTCTATCAACTCTTTTTAATTTAAATGCAATCATTTAGTACCCACATTTATCTGATAGAGCAGATGAAAAAAGGCAAACATGGATTATATATGCACCTTCATTTCATTTTCTTATACGTTCTACTATTACGAGATAAATTTAACACCCATCCATACTAATGGTTCCCGTTTTCAAAATTTGTAGAAACCAGCGGTGAACCGTTGCAGGGAAAAATTCAGAAAAGAAAACACCTCTACATATTCAAGATTATGTCTAACTCTCGCAAACTCGAAGCCGGTATGCTATGCCATCAGCTACCTCTAATTTTGTAAACCGTTAATTCTATCTTAAAATTTGAAATGATGAATCCTTATAATTGAAATGCCAATGATCTGAATCTTATGACTGAATTATTACAGTTCTGTAAGATTTATTGATTACTTTCTTTCAAACCGTCTCTCGCAGCGGAATCGCCGCCACCAAGAGCTTTGGCCGCGTAGTTCGTCGTCGTCCAGTATTCCTCCAAAATTCCACTCTCTTTGCTCACTACAACTCAGTGTGTCTCTATTCTTCCAGGTACACCCATATCTATATCCCCAGCGACTGTTTATATGCATCTATTGTTAGAGAAGTCTTTTGCCTTTTGGGTTCAATTTCATCTACTCTCTACATTGGATTTGATGTCTTCTCAGCCTGAATTTTTTTATTCAGCAATGGAGGTTGCATTATCGCTTGAGAAATTGGCAAATGAAAGCTGCTCCAACTGCACAGTGTAGGACATTCATTGTTATTGTATGATGTCTTCTTAATATAAGATGATTAGGTTTAGTTGATAATATTTTGTACCAGTAACATCGATTGTTTCATGTTATGAATTAACAATCTTACTATACTATGTTCATCCTCGAATTTACGACTAACAGGTTACTGAGGAAAACAAAGATGTGTAGTTAACAAATTTTGTTGAAACTAAGTTTTTGGCTGAGCAAGTCAGTCTTGATATCTTCCTTTTTTTTCCTCAGTTGGAAAGGTTCTACAAGGACACTTGCGGTATGATTTTTGATGTTCTGCTCTTACCTTTGTAGGTGGAAGCCATCAAGAAAGTATTTGAATATGTTGCTCAACTGAGGACAGTTCGAAAAGGGCACGGTAGAAACCCATAATTCAAGTTTGTTGTCATCTTTATCCTACGTTTAGTGTTCATCTTTTGAAAATAACATTACTTTATCCGATTTTGTCTTCCGTTTCTTAAAACCCAAGCACTACTCGACAAAATGTTGTTGCTATGTGATGATGAGTTTGTCGTTGTTGAAAGTGGTGTTATGTTGTTCGGTGCGCTGATTGTAGCTGTTTAGAGGTTGTGGTTGTATGGTTAGAACCTTATATTAGTTTTTTGGATGAGGAAAATACATGAGGGACAAAATTTAGTCAAATTAGTTGTTTGCATTAGGTTTTGATAAACTCAAGTAATTGTATATATGTGAGATTTAGAAATCCGCACTTTTGGTTTTACATAGGCTCCCAATTTCTGCGCAAAGGAAATCAGGAAGAGAACACCAATGGAGAATCCCTTCTTTGTGGTGGAAATTGACGGCCCATGTGTAGCATTCACCCAATTTATAAGAGGAGAGGTCAACATGCAGAACGAAGGACATGAGAATTTGTTTAATTTTATCAAGTTTTGTATTGAGGTAGAACTCCCTCCCCATTTCACTTAGTTTTAAATGCTGATTAGTATAGAATTCGGATCCTCGTCGGATTCGTAAATCGTATTTGTTCATTGTACATCAAGGGGTTAAAAATCACTTTAAATATTCTTATTTAAAATTAAAGACAAACAGTACCTGATAAAAACTAACCGCACGATATACGATGAACATATACGATTTAATGATTCTCAAAATCCTCACCAAAAAAATCCAGAGAAAATCCTGTTGGATTAGTATATATGTGTAAATAGGATTGTAAGTACGGTTGTTCAATAAATCACTGTATGCATGTATGGATTTATGTCAAACTTTTTTAAATTTAGAGCCTCAAAAGATGATTCCAGCGTTGATAAGGGAGATATCTGCATGTATGGATTTATTTTATGCCAGCATTTAGTATACGGGAGTTCAACAAATCACTGTAGTGAGTCAGACAACAGTCAACCTTCTGCGTCTCATTCTTGCAACTAGCCGCATCTTTTCCATTGCAACATTGGCATCCTCTACTCTGGTATCTAAAATTACAACAGTATCAAGACACCAACAAGATCAATGGAGCTCAAGTCCAATGTGAAAGAAATTACTACTACAATTTACAGATGAGCTGCTTAAAGATAACTGTACCACATAGTCATCATTCCGATAAACCATAAAAAAAAAAATCACATTGCTTCTGCCAGGAAAGGTCATTGATTGTATGTTCTCTAGTTCATTGTACAGGTTATGAATGCAAGGGTTAATACAGCAAAGCTATCGATTTTATCTACCTTGAAACGGTATAATGACTAATATGCCAAGAACACAACTTTCACAAAATTTACTTTGTCCGCAGGTTAGAAAATTGTTCTGAATCAAGTACAGAACCACTTTTAAAATCAATATACTTCTTTTTGTCTTGCAAGTGAATACACTTGAGTAAAAAAAGAACGGGCAAAGTCATAGCCGATAGCAAACCCAACCTTGTTCGGATTCTTGGCCTACTCTATTCATCCCACCTAGGACCTTATACGCCTCCGAGTGTACTGAATCCACCCTCATTGAGTAAATTTTGACTCCAGCTTCAAGAGTGCAGCTTGCCTGCACATATAGAGAAGTGATACATATTTAAGCAAACATAGCATATCCAATCGAATATGTGAACATTCGGCAATTCACTTCAAAAGTGGTTTTACCAAAATCTTGGTCTTGATGGATTTCAAATTTCAAAACTTATCCGAAACATCGTAGTATCAATAGGTGGCATTTACCTTTTGAAAATTAGTCTCTGCATCCTTTTCCTCTTCAACGTTAATAATGTCCGTTAAATGGTCAATCAAATTCAGCTCCCATGTATTTTTCTGATTAATTTTCTGCGCACCTAACAGATCAAAATCGAACATTTAAAAAAAAAAAAAAAAATTTCACAACAAACATCAAAATCTAATCCAGTAAAAATGGCTCACTCATTTGACAAATAAAGTAATTGTAACTTTCTGTTAAAAAAATTAATTTCAAAACTTTCAATTACTTGAAAAATCTAACTGACATTTTCACTGGCGAGTTTGATGCAATTCTGAAACAGCTCGAGGATCTGCGCCTTTCCGAGGCCGTGATTGGGGTCTCCCAGCTGTGGCAGCAGATTGAGCGCAACGGACTTCCTCCGAATCGCGGCGGCGGGTGCTGCGCGAGCCTGTGCACGCTCGCGGTTGTCGTCATTGGAGCCGAGGAAGAAGAGGCTGGTTGGAGACTGGAGACGAGCGGCCATTGGGAGCCTCCGCTTCTAGGTTGCCGGATTAGGGCTCAGAGTGTCAGCCATTGCAATCGGGAAAATCGAATTGGGAAATTAGATTTGGGAAAGCTTATGAGGATGGATACTGATGGGACGAACAGGTTTCCCTCCATTTGATTTGTTTGAAATTGGGGGGTTGAAAAGGTATAGGATGAAGTGCGGATTTAGTCTTTGAATTATTAGCTCAATTAAAATTAGATCTCTGAATTATATTTTTGATAAAATAAGTCATTAAATTCAATAAAAATTCCTAATTTCATACCTACTATTATATTCAAAGTTATTTTATCCAATTTTTCGTCAACTTAAGTCATTTGACACACTTATAGTATAATACCATTATTTTCTCGCCTATAAGCCTTTAACATTTCATATAGGTTGTTGATTGACGTCTAATTTACCCTCTAAAGTTAACTCCATACACTATTTCTTTACAATAAAATTACTAATCTATCCTCCAATATGTATTACATACAAGTAACGTGACTTAAATTAATGAAAAATTAAATATAGTAGCTTCAAATCTAATATTAGGGATGTAATTGGCATATTTTTATAATTAAATGACTGATTTTTTTGAAAAAAAAATAGTTCTAGGGACCTAATTTTCACACAAGTAATAATTTAAGGTCTAAATTGACAGTTCATCCAAAGGTATAATATGTTGCTGCTCATGCATATGATATAGACATTCATTTTCCTTTGTTGACCAATCTACGTCTGTCAATTTTACATTTGTGTATTGGGAGCTGCCAACCTAGCATTTCAAAAAAGTCATCATATTCATTCTAACCAGCACCAGAATGCATAGATATAATTACTTTTTGCTACTGCGGTAAATGTCACATGAAAAAAAAAGGGATGCAACATGAAGACTAAATGTTTAAACATGTACATTAATGTCTTTTCATTACAACCAGGGTGGATTTGGTTTCATTATACAGGATCCAAACAACTTTTCATTACAAACTTCAAAAAAAATTGTAGCAATCCAAAACTAATAAGCATCATTTATAATAACATTAACACGAGGCCGAGTATTTAGGGTCTTCAAAAGGCCAATTTTTTATTTTCCTGTCAAACACGCCTGCTCCATAAGTAGAAATGACTAACTCAAGAAGGAGGCGAAATTGCATCCATATGAAAGATGCAACTGGAACACTTGCAAGCAAAGTAAGTAGAATAGCAATAGAAGATTTTCCATGAAGCATAATGGAAAGGGCTGAAGAAAAAGCTGTCATCATTGCCACGATAGATAAAAAAAGGGTGATAAGGCCTAATATCATTTTTGTTGGCAATGATTTGAGGAAATCATGTTCGGCATAACGCGATGTGAGAATTCCCAAAAATATCATTACTGAAGTTGTGGAAGAAAAGAGCGATATAACATCTGAAACTATAAAAATTATGAATGCCCTCTTACTTAAGAATATAGGAAGACCTGTATCTTGTTTATTTCCACCAGGAATCGTAAACGCTGCAGCAAACATGATAGTAACGATGAGAGCCCCTACAACTGTGCAAGATGTTGCTGTATCTTTCATTGCCCTTTCACCCTCTTTCACCAAGTGCTTGTGACCCTTGGTAACCAATTCACGTGGTGTCATCTCATCCATTTTATTTATTAATTCATGATCTACAGGCAGTGCAAAACGTTCCACCTCCTGTATGTCATTCAACAAAAACTTAGAAGAGATATGACTATATACATCCGAAGAGTAATTCTGATCTCTTGGTACAAATCCTTATGGCCAAGTCTCAAAGGTATTTTCAGTTCAAGTTATGAAGGAATGGACCACAATTATATAAAATAAGTACTGATTTCCTTATAAATTTCAATTATATACAAGAGAGAAGATGGTGAATAGGAGAAAGGAGGGGCTTCCGTCATCAGTTTTCACAAATATGATTAAGTAGTCTCTTATATAATAACATAGATTTTATAAGTATAATATATAATTGATTCTATAGATAAGTAGTCACCTTGAACCATTGCAGTTCCCTTTGCATTTGCAAAGCTGCACCTCGAATAAGATTAATCTGTGCGGCGGAAGAAATAGTTCCTACCACATGCAGCATGTTATTGCTGGACTCATCTTTACTACTTACGAACCATTCCCAGTTACGTTGATCACCTAGTCCATATAATAGACTAAAAACTTTATGTTGACGACATTCAGCTGCATATTGAAAGATGTTCCGGCCTTTTTCATTGGTGATGTAAAGGAGTTTATAATTTGCTCTGCATAAATGAGTAATATACTCCACATGCCCTTTTTTTATTGCTAGGAACATTGCTGTTTTCAAGCCTTGCAATTCTTTGACATCTTTATTTTTCGTCACTTCACACATACGAGGTAGAAATTCAAGGATCCGAACATGGGCCAATTTCATTCGATATATACGATTGAATCCTATGTTGACATTCAAAACAAATCAAACAATATACCCTTAATTCTGTATAAAGAATTAGAAAATAATTGACAATAAAAAAATAAAAAGAAAGTAATTAAAAATTATTAAGACAATAAATAGGAAAAGAAAAGAAAAGTGATTTTTACATACCCTTTTAAGACAAAGGTGTGTAAGAAACTATAATAAAGGTGATTTTTACACACCCTTTTAAGTTTTTCACACATCCCTTATTTATATATGGACATTAGATTGAATAAAACAAACAGACCAAAATTAAACAAATATGTGTTAGAGACTATAATAAAAGACTAAAAAGAATGTGTGAAATGAATTTCCATAGAAATCAATTCATAATGTAGCGTACCCAAAAGTTTACCGAAGGTTTTGACAACTAGTCCACGAAATAAACTTGTACCTGCATTGACATTCCAAATTGTCAGTTAAGTCCTCAATTACCAATTAGTTATATCCCCATTTAAACCATATAATATGGTACAAAAATTTAATCTCTTTAACATTATTTAATATGATACAAAAATGCGGTGAGTTTCTTCGAAATCAAAATCAATAATGCTTAAGATAGCCTCCTTGTGCCTGCACATTTTTACAGTTGTTGGATGTGAGTTTCTTTGGAAACCAAAATCAACAACTCTAACCCATATATAAAAGAGCTAGTAGGTGGTAAATTGCCTTGGTTAGACCTTTTTCTTCTATCCACTCAGTCCCAGGTTTAAACTCTTTTTTTTTACTTAGTTTAGATGAGGGTAGAGTATCGATTTTAATAAAAAGACAAAAAGGTTCCAAACTCCATAAATATATGAAATAATTCCAAAACAAACACAATAATCAAACTTTAGTACCACTAGATTTGATAGTTTTGACCAATGTTCTAAAAGTCACTAATCGGACTGCAGGGCCTAAGCGGTTTTATTCAAATTTGATTAAATTATTATATGACTTATAAATAAGTGTGTACTTATAATATATATTAATTAATAGGTTGCAATGGATAGAAATATAAGACGAAGACTTGATGTGTATGTTGATAGAAGATAAGCCCCACCATCATTTGAAACCAAGTTAGAAAAGAGGTAAATATGAAGAAGATGACCTCCTACATATCCATTGTCGAGGTAGATGTACCATAGTAGTAGGAATGTAGGAGTGAAAAAAAAAGGGGGAAGCATCCAAATGCACCTATAAATCAACTCAAATAAAAAGGGAAAATAAAAATGATATATACAGAACCATTAGGGAGATTGACCTTGCCAATTTCACTTCAAGAATAAAGGCTTCTCCTAAAATATGGTCACGTCTGTCATGTAACATGCGTACCTGAGCAAATGAGATGCCTTTGCCTTTTATTACTCTGGTCGCCATCTTCCGGTATTTCAACGTCTATACAAACATCATCATCAGTGGTAGGAATAGGTTCCTCAATGGTACGCATTGGTTTTATTTGTATGCCTATCAAGATAAGAACACAAGCCCACTTATATATTAATACGCGATATAAACTAGTTCCTTGAACCAAGAATTTTCTATTGCTGCATCTAATAAGAATAAAAGAAAATAGAAAGCTTAATTAGGACAAAATTTAAAATGAAGAGAAAATGGAAAGCATTACTAACCGTCATAAATCCATTGTTCCCAGAAATTGAGCGAGCTTCCACTTAGGAATGCAGAACTTATACCAGCTAGTTCATTTAAAGGTGTTCTCCCGTAAAAATCCTTAGCAATGACTAACTCCGGACGGCGCTGAATTAAATCCCATGCAATATCTACATATTGTGGAGTGTTTAGAAATAACCTCTATAGATCTAGTTATAAAATTAGCTTAGTCTCAACATTATTAATATACAGGGGTTTTATAGTATTTATACAAGGAAAAAAAAAAAAAATAAGGCACCACTAATAATAATTATCATTTGAATGTTGATCTTACCAAATCTTTTTAACATAAGACCGAGGATAATAAGCATAGCGCATTCGGAATCGTTCAGGGTTTCGTGCTGAGTGACGGAATAAAGGTATTGAGCCATTTTTTCTCCTTCTCCATGACTATGAACATGAGCCCGAGTAAGTGGGGTAATTTTGCCTTCCAAAAGTGAGATGGTATTCTGGGGAGGAAGGGAAATACTGAGTAACCTCTTGTTCTTTTCAACCATGCATTTTGCTAGTTCGACGCTTTCTGGAGTTCTATCTATAACATAATGAAGAGTGGTAAGACCCCCATCGTCTTGTATTTCCAAGTCTTCTGGTCTCATTAAGTCCACCAATTGTTTTGCAATGTCCACCTTCTTATAATAGACTGCCAGGTGAAGAATTGTCACACCGGTCTCATGTCTTGCACTTACTGCCTTGGGATAAAGCTTAAGAAGCTGCATTACAGAAACCCAATCACCTCTACTCACGAAATCAAAAATAATTTGATCACCGCAGTTGTCTTCGTCTCCTGCCAAGCTAGCTAACGTTACATAAATATCCCCATAAATAATGTACGTAACATATAGTTGCTACCCTGATCACCAAAAGAAAAACATATAGACTATACACTTGTTATGGATTTTTCTTATTCTTCTTAATTTTATTGTATGTATATGGAGTACTTTTGTTCTATTTTACTATTGAATACCGTCTTTTTTTCTTTGTAAATTGCAATTGTTAATAAGAATCCAAAGTCGATAGCATCATGCATTTTAGTTTTTTCCTTGTAAAAAACAAAATAAACGATGATTTTAGAATGAAAATAACGATGTAGATTTGAAAGGAGATTAATTAATAAATATTAAACGGAGATCTTTGTGAGAATCAAGACATAATACTTGAATCTATTGCCAACCATTCCTCTAGCTCCGTATCAACAGTGGTTGGTTCTGTTTTACCATTGAATATTGTCCCTTTTTCTTTGTAAATTGCAATTGTTAATAGGAATTCAAAGTCGATGACATTATGCATTTTAGTTTTCTTCTTGAAAAAAGCAAAATAAATGACTATTTTAAAGTGCAAATAACAATGTAAAATTTGAAAGGAGTTTAATTAATAAATATTGAACAGAAATCTTTGCAAGAATCGAGACACGATACCTTTATGGGGCGATTCTTCTATGGCATCATTCTCTGGCTCTACCTCAATAATGTTTGGGTTGTTATTCGTGTGATCGTCGGATAACTCCCCTGAAAAACATAATCATTTATGTTTATACCCCATCATTCTCTATTGGGAAATATATTTCTCTCTTTTCCTATCTTATTTTTGCGGTAGTTTAAATTGAACAATTCTATTAAGGATAGATTTAATTCAACTAAAAAGAGCCAGGTCAAAGCCGAAACTGACACTGCTCACATAATTGACGTCTCTCTTTTTATTGACAAAAAAAAAATAACGTCTCTCTTTTTAATGAATATGAACAAAAAAAATGTCAAATATTAGTGGCTTTTCCTTTTGGAAGGCCGAATAAATTGGGCTCACTACACTTTGTATACAGTACGACAAAAAGGCAAAGAGGTATGTTTGGCACCTCAAAGTTGAGGAGTTCCTTATAAAAAAATATAAAAAAATACAAAATTCGTGATTGATTCACAGTTCGTGCTTATGATAAAACTTGTTCAAATTATAAATCACTTAATAAAAATCATCTTTGTAGAAAATTAATTAATTTTAAAATTGTTAATCAATGAATTGTAGCAAATCATATAGATGGTTTGTAACGCTTGTACTGAATCTAACCATCTGTTTTTAGATTGTTTAATGACTAAATGATGTCATATTTTATTAATTTTACAAAAAAAAATCTTTACCAAGTGATTTATAACATTAACAATTTTGATCACAAGAATAAAATTCTATAAATCAATCACAAAGTATTTTGATAATGAACTTCTCCAAGTCCTGTGAGGATCCAAGCTAATTCCAAAGACAAATGCCTAATTATATGGAAAAGGCGAAGGTGCACGTACCGGTTCCTGTGGCTTGGGATGCTTCAGCTGGCTTCAACTTTTCTGCCAAAATATCCCAGGCAACTTTGGCTGTACTGGCTCCCATAATAGAAGAAAGAGTATCGGCCCCACAAGAAATCTGGATGGAGTGCAAAGCCTTGGCATTACGCTTCCTCCAAGCATTAAATTCAACTTCGCCATCTTCTCGTCTAGGAGGCTCAGTGGTGGCTTCCACGACGTCCCAAAGATCTTTTGCCAACAGGTAGGTTTTTAACTAGCAAACTCCATTCTTCGTAGTTATTTTTGTTTAGAAGTTCATGAACAATTGGACTAGGGACAACTGTGCTTGTCATCTTCAATCTGTAAATTTATGTCGATGGAGCACATGTTAGATCAAACTAGTAAGAAAAAATTAATACTCACGGATTGAATTTTTGGGCAATCTTCAGATTAAGCTATGTGCACATAGTGCAGCCGAAGTTCATCTTTGGGTATGCTCGTTTATGATAACAAATCAGCCATTAACAAAAGACTCGAGAGATCACTATTATTTGTATTACAACTGGACATGGGAGCACATACTGAGGACAAAAAACAAAGGGATCCAGCTCCACCGGGACAAATTAATTGATAGAGTAAGCCCTGAAGTCGTCGTAATGCCAGTCTCCCGCGAAGTCAACCCCCTCTTTGCTTCAAATTGATTTCTCTCCCTCTTATAAAACTCGACGAACCCACAGCCCAGATTTCCCCTCCTTGCTTCACGGAGGAACACCTGGCTGGTTCCGCTCTGGATCTGATCCAACGTCAAGTTGTGATACCGCAATTCTAGCTTCCTCCGCTACCCAGCAGCTCCCTTGCTAGGCAGTTTCCTTTGTGACAAAACAAAACAAATTCAAAGTTTTTTAACTTTGAAGAAGAAGAAGAAAGCCAGAGTAATTTGAGTGAAACGGGAGAAAAGGAGGGAGAGGGGAGAGCAACAGTGGTCACAGAAAAGGAGAACGAAAAAAGGGTGAAAAAGAGAGAAAGGATATACTCCTTGTTAAATAATTCGGATTTTTGAAATTTGATTAAACGGATAAAGTTATTATAACTTGTAAAATGAATTTTTATTTGTAACCGTTTAATCAAATTTTAAGGATGTGAATTATTTGACAAAGAAGATTAAGTGAAAGGAATTAGGAGATGATCCCTTTTCGAAAAAGAAGGAGAGGAGAGTGAGAGTGGGACAGAGAAGGAGAGCGACAGGACGAAGAGAGGAAGAGGATTATATAAAAAATAAAATAAAAAGATAAATTAATATTAAAATATTAATAGATACTGATTAAATAATATAAATATAAATCACATCATAATCTCATACTATATGTTTTAAATTTTTTTTTTAAACGATAGATTTGTTAAATTAAAATGTTAGATAAGGCAACCGACGAGATTCTTACTTATTGCAGTGTCATATTTATCTCATCTTACGAATTTATTGTAATATCAAATTTTTATAAATTTTTCTGTTAAATGCTGATGGGTCAAAACGCGTGCCTACTTCTAGCCCAACTGGAATTCCACACTGGCTTTATTAAACACATGGATCATCCCACCGATTGACACGTGGAATGAAGAACAAATTAGAAAAAATCCGAAAAACTAAAAAATAAACAAAAATTTAAATTTAAACTTTAATTACTTGGCACCCTCAGCCAATTTCCAGGGAGAGGCTGCCCCTCAGCCAAAAACACCACCATGAATACGGCTTGGCCTCAAATTATTTTTCTCAAATTCTCAAAAAGGCTTTGAAAATCTCTCTCAAAGTTTGGATATTTGGATTTTCTGCAAAATTTGGGATAGTTTAATACCGGTAGGTAGGAAATTAGTGATTCAGAAATGGTAAGCCCCAAATGTAGAGGTGTAGAAGGGGGTGCTCTGCGATGCTGCGACCATCCGGGGATTTCTGCAGCGTCTCGCTGTCCGTTGCTCTATCGACTCGTCGTCCGTGTGATTAGGGCGCCCACGGTAACTACTCTGTTTCCCCTCTCGTTCTCTACCTGCTCGAACCGACTCGCAGCTCCACAACTGGAATATGGGTTTGCCGTCCATGGATTTATCCTTGGGATGGGAAGTTCACCGGATTTGGGGCGAGGGTTGTGAAATTCCTCGAAGGTTAGAGCTTTGTTGGGTTCCTAAATATTCATTGTCCGTTACTCCCCGTCTGTGTGTTCTTCTTATTCTTATTCTTAGGGGTGTAGTCAATTAGGATTTCAAAGAACTTTTATGGATTTTTTGTATGACAGATTTTAAAAGATTTTAATAGACTTAACAATTTCATATGGATTTTGACGGATTTTATATGGATTCCTATTACAGATTTGTATGAACTTGTATGGATTCTTTCTTGGATTTCTTAGGATTTTGTAAAAATTGAGAATCACACTAAAGCATTTTTAATGAAATCCAACGGTTGGGATTAACATCTCCAACTCTCTGCAATTGAAACCCTAATTTTTTTTCTTTTCCGTCTTTGCTCCTGTTCAGAGTTGAGATGCATTGTCAACATCTTGGTTAAGCACCATTGCAAGAATGGGGATCTTGATTTTACTTTTGGGGTTCTGAAGGAAATGAAAAGGTCCAAAATTGCTTACCCTAATTTGATTAGGTACTCAACTCTCTTCGGTGGTCTCTATGAAAGTGGAAGACTCACAGAAGCAATGGAGTTGTTCGAACGTATGATCCCAAAGGACCAAATTTTACCCAATGTCCTAGCTTACAACATTTTGGTTAATGGGTTTGGCCATAGTGGCAAAGTCGACAAAGCTTATACCATGACTTCCAACATGATACTTGGAGGGTTGTGCAGAGAGGGGAGAGTTGAGGATGCTCTTGAGATGCTGGAGAATGCAAGTGTAGGCACTGATAGAGGATTTTGAATTGGGGATTTGAGATTTTTTTTCTTTAAGGGAAAAATTCAGAAAAACCTACAATTCGTAGTATTTGTTTGCGAATTTGAGCTAGTTAAAAAAATATCCATGACGGATGAGTATGAAGAAGATGGAAGTATGAGATATGAGAAAGGGTTTTCTTCTATGTGAAAAGAAATCGGAGGGGGGAAGATGGGATTCTTGATGGCATATGATATTTATACCCCTCACTCTTAAATCCATCAAAATCCACCATTCATTGAAATCCTAGCAAATCTTTAGGATTCTCATTACACATAAACTTAGGTGGACTTTGTAAAAATTTTAATTGATTATCTGGATTTGGATTTATTCTTTAAAATCCTCTCAAATCTTAATTTGACTACACCATGATTTCAAACTCTTTTAAAATCCTTTTCCAAAATCATAGTTGAATACACCATGATTTTAAAATCTATTAAAATCCCACCAAATTCTAATTTAACTACACCCCCTTAGTTTTCTCTTTGAAAACCCGAACCAACATATTGGATCTCTTGAACTGAAGGAATTGAAGGAATGCAGATGTTGTGGGCTGGCGGCGGGGGTTGAAATACAGGGAGCTGGGGCTGAGGGGTGACGGAATGAGGTAACGGAGGGTTGGGGGGGGGGGCGGGGCGGGGGGGCGTAGGGTGTGGGGGGACAAAATTATTTGTTTTCAATTAATTTTAATTGTTAAATAAATAATAAATCATTTTTTATTCGAGTTGGCGATGTAGTGAGGCGTGTGTTTGACACGTCAACAAGTAACAAAAAAGTTGATGGAGGTGTGATATTGCAATGAACTCATAAGTAATGACATTACAATATTTAAAATATGAGATATGAGATTGTGGTTAGACCCATAATTGAAGTAGTTTTGTATGATTTACCCATAATATAATATTAAAGTTTGTTAATTATCTTACTTTTTAGTCTGACACTACACCAAAAGCTTCATAAAATTAGTCCAGCTTGGTCTATTCTATGTCAGTCCAGCTTAAAGCTTGTTTGGTACTGCTGTGTAGGGGTGGGCACAGTTCAGTTCGATGAGTGAAACCGAAAAATTTTGCGGTATGATTTGGTATGGTTTTGAAACTAAAACCAAAATGAAATCAAATCGAACAATTTCAAACAGTTTCGATTTGGTTTCAAACCATTTACATACAAAATGAAAAAAATAAATTATTTGTCTTCTCCTTCTCACACCCCTCACCCCCTCACCCCACCTTCTCTTCTCCTCCTCCTACCAACACCATTAATATTTTTAAGAAAAACATACAGTTCGAAAACCTTATTTCAAACCATTTTCAAACACAGAATATTTTTAAGAAAAACGTACAGTTCGAAAACGTTATTTCAAACCATTTTCAAACATTTCCTGGATGCAAGGTCAAGTTGCATATTCAAGCCTCCAAGGGACTCTGCACCTCCAGCAAGGCAACAAATGCGTTCTCATTCTGATAATATCACTCTAGGGCAGTAAATACTTGTAGCAAAACCTACAACACATCCAATGCTTCAGCAAATGCCTTGTATCAATTGCATGACCTCGCATCTATGGGTTTGATATAATCCTACCATTTTGCGTCTGTGGGTTGATGAGACGATTTTGAACTTTTGAGAGTGAGACTGATTTGAGATCGAGAGCATCACTAAGGCCTACTCTAACTCTGGAGTAAAACTCAAATTCTAGGTTCTAAATTTATTCCAACTTGTTCCAACCTTTGAGGCAAATATGAGTTTTAACTCAAAACTCATTTCTGGAGCAAATTTAGCTCAAGATTCCTCTTGGGTTAGTGGAGCTAGTTCATCATATATATGTACTTTTTTTCAGTTTTATATTTATAAATTCATTGAATCCAACAACTAAGATCTAATATGATCAAATCCAACAGTAAAAAAAAAAGGATCTGAGGGTCTAAATTTAAATTTAACGGCTAAAGTAATTAAAAAAAATTATTTTATGTGTTTCATATTCTTCATGGTGTTCCACGAGTTTCATGGTATCAGTTTAGATATTTTTCAATATTTTTTGGAATCTGAATATTTTTTTTTATTAAAATGTTCATAAAATTAAATTAGAATTGTCTACATAATTTTGTTTAAAAAAAATTTACTTTAAGAAAAAAAATTATCCTAAATTCATTCTCTAATATTCTCGGGCTAAAAAATTTAATCCATAAGGGTTGAAGAAAAAAAACTGTTTTTGGGTTAAAACCTAAATTTTCTGAATTAAAAATTTTAGATTTTAAGCCAATGATTGGAGATGGTCTAAGCAGGAAAGTGATGAAATTATCTATAATTGAGTCCACACTAAATGTATGGATTCTTAACAAACAACCAATTAGAACATAACATCTAATATGAATATTTAATTAAATGCTTTTCTTTTATGGTATTGTTAAGGAGATTAAATTTTGTAAACTAAATGATGTGGCTGTTAATATTTTTTTTTGGTCAAAATGTGGTTGTTGATAATTTATATATTGATTAACTCGCTTATTTTCTATTATTAACAAGTAACAATTGAGGATGAAATGATTAATTTATCCTTAAATTTGACATAATTGATTCTGCAATCTAACATCAATTGGTTAATTGCCTAATTTTAAATAATCAAACCGCAATTTATCCTAAAGTTTTATTTTTATATCTTTGTTTCATTGTCACCAAATTTTACGCAGCGGTATATTTGTATCATTTAGTTGTTGTATTCTAGTCACATCCAAAAAAATTTTGACGAAATTATTGGAAGATTTGATGACGTGCCCACTGATGACGTTCAACTTAACTGTCATGTCCCACTTTCTTATTAAACGTTATAGGCACCACTAGAATTCTGCACAACAGTGATAGCAGCCATGTCCCACCTTCTTTTTAAACGTTCTGGGCACCACTAGAATTAACCGTGATCAGAAATTGTTTTCTTTCGTACACATTTAATGGTGCCAGCTTTGCAACCGCAAACGCAGTTAATATGGTTCAGTGAGTGGGTTGTAGGCTTAAAAATCATAAATTCATACGGCCATAGCAATGGAAAAAGAACTGAGTCAGTTTTGGGAGTCTTCATCAAGCATGGTCCACAATCTTTCCCA